AAAATGGCCCTCAAAGGGAATGGCACTATTAGCAGGCATGGCCTTGTTGGAGGAAGTGTGTCATTGTAGGGGTGGGTTTTAAGGTTTCTTTTGCTACAGTGTTTCTGTTAGTTGACTTCCCATTGAGTACAAGAGGTAGGAGGACTCTCAGCTATAGTTTCAGCACCATGTCAGCCTGCAGACCACCATGGTCTTCATCATGATGATAACGGACTGAACCTCTGAAACTGTAAGTGGTCTACTGAAATTCAATGTTGTTTTGTTTTAAATAAGAATTTCCATGGTCATGGTGTTTCTTCACAGCAATAGCAACCCTAACTAAGAAACTCATGATCCACTGCCCTCAAATCTGAAACTTTTCAGCCCCTCTCTAAAGGGAAGATCTCAGAGCTGTGGGCTTGAAAGGAAAAGCCCCCCCCATAACCCATATACCGGAATATTGAACTCCAGATCTGTAAACTAACATTTTATCCTAACAAATATTTGTTTCTTGCCACAATTTCAGAAGCAAAGGTTATTTTTTATGCCTGAAATAGGTATACACATACCCTACTAATTGCATGTCTCTGCATTCTCCTTCCTGCGTTATTACCTTCATCTTTCAAATATTATAGTTCATCTCTCAAAATGAAGAATGTAGTCATTACTTTCTGAATTATCACCTCTTGTGGTGTGAATGCAAGAGGCCTTCTTTACCTCCTATATGTGAAAACTTGCATTCTACATTGTGGAATTGTTTGGTAAAGATTATGATGTTTCTCCTTATTGGGAGAGTTTCATCTCTTGAGGCAGGCCTTGAGGTTTCAATATACCATGCAATTGCCATTCATGAGTGTGTCATTGGCAAGGTATATGCACATGAGTATTGGTCCCTTGTGAGTTCAAGTCAGAGGGTCCTATTCCATGAATATAGAGTTACAAGGAATAAAGAGCAATCAAACATGAGTTGGGTGTTTTGGAAGATCAGTTCTCAACTACCTGAAAGTAGGACAGAGGTGCCACAAAAATAACACTGAGATTTTTGAACTAGTGTATCTGTTGAGAATTCTGGAAAGAAATTTAAATAGGAGAACTGTTTAGGACATTGTTCACCAAGCCCTCACCATGGATCTTAGTAGGACATTCATATTTTCCACCTGTCTTGAATATTTAATCTGGAAAAGAAACTCACCTAATTTTAAAACTTAATTGTCAACATGTTTCCTCTGGCCAGGACTATTGCTTGCATGGGATTCTGGATGGTAGAAAGTGGAGAAAGCAAGCTGGACACTACCTTTTATTACTTTCTGCTTCCTCACTGTATATATGATTTAGCCAGCTGCTTCAAGGTCTTCCTACCTTCAATTCCCATTGTGACTATCCCAGAATAAGTGTTCTGTTGTTTTATTAAAGTAATAGGAAGAGAAACTCAACTCTGGAAATTCCAACATCTTTGTTTCTCTGTCCTTGCTGTACTATGTCTATATATAGTTAACATATCTCTGTACCTAAGAACTCAGAGAATGCTACAGTGGGTCACCTAATGCTGAATGTGTTCCTGCCACTTCTGCTTTACACTGCTGTTCCAACTTTCAACCCCCAGGATTGTTCACTGGCCTTTGAAGTCTAGAAGGAAGGTAGCATTGTCAACTTTCATTCCAAGGGACCATGAATGTCTATTAGGGTCTTCTCACATTTGAGAAGCAACTTCAATATCCACAGAGCCTGAATGATGTAAAAAAGGACACATCTTCCAAATGATCCCTGAGAGTGTAACCAAGTAATTTCACTTACACTTTGATGCACTCATTTCCTGTATTTGAATTCTGTACATTGTTAATTTATTTTACTTATTGGAGAGGAAGATGCACTCAATGCTTATTGCTTTGAAATAAATATACTGCATCCTGAAGGTAGAGATTCATCCTCACAGGTGGCATTTTCCAAGCTGACTCCAAGAGGTGGTGGCATCTCGCTATTGTTTCATTTGTTTCTTGGTTGTACACCATGGAATAGAACCAAATAGTGGACCCCATGTCTGTGTCCCTGTTTTTGGTGCTCCCCACCCATTGCTGTCCTAGGTGTGGTTATTTGGGATTCCATGTGCCAATTCCAATACTTTGGTATGAGCATGTTAAGTCATTCCAAGCTGAGAGCGCAGACTCACTGAGAAACAACCAGTCTGTTAAAGTTCTCAAGAGATTGCACCTGCCTGGGGATCCACATTAGTCTCTTGCTTACACAGAATGTACTTAACAGAGAATGCCCTGGTTTCTTTAGGCTGGACTCTTGAACAGTGCACCAGGCCAGAATGTTCTAAGGTCTTTGCCAGATTTCCCTGCATCTCCTTGAGCATGTCTCCTCCTATGTTTTACTGACACATCAAGACTATTAAGCTTCTTGTTCATTAGATCTGACTAAAATGATGCCATTAATATCATGAGACAACATGTAGTTCTGTTGGTGTCCAGGGGTTCTCATCTCATTAAAATGTCTTGTGATGGAGAGGAGAATTAACACAGCCCTAACTCAGGGCAGTAAATTTTTATGACTAAAGTGGATGTGTCTCTGCTTCTCCTTGCTTGGGTATTGTAAAGAGTTGATTTGCCAGCTCACTTTCTACTGCTCCATCTGGTCCCCAAGAATTTGTTCAAAGCATCACAGCAACTGCTGCTGTTGCTAGGCCATGTGGTCATCCACTGTTGTCTGTTTCCAGCAATCTCCTTTATGTGGAACTTAACACACAGGGACATAGGACAGATTAGCAGTCCCTCCATTGGCATGCCTTTGAAGGTAGCTCTAGTATCTGATTGTTTGTTTTCTACCTCAGCTGCAGTATATTGAGGAGGGTTAGGTTATCTCAAGAGTTTTGTATGACTTTTCTATTGGGTAGTTTTTTACTCCATGGCTCAAGGAAAGAAGTTGCTGGTTCACACATATGAACTAACTAAGTGACCTTCAGGTACTTTGGTTGAAACAGTGAACAGACTATGAGAATGACCTGGGGAAGACACATTTGTTTTCTGATGGCCACTGAAAGATTCTAATGGGGACTGTGTTGACATTCTCATACCAAGTTATCTGGGTGTACTCTGGTATACTATCTACCCAGCCCCTGTAGATTGCATTTCTGTTCTGCCTGGTCTTGCCACCATTCAGGCCCAAAGAGACTTATATTAATTATAAACTGTTTTGCCAATGGCTTAGGCTTCTTACTAGCTAGCTGTCTCTTACTTATTAACCCATTTCCTTTAAACTATGTATTGCCACGAGACCATGGCCTACCTGTTACTCCTTTGGCAGCATGCCATCTCCCTGGCCACTTCTCTCTCCCTCTTCTCCCCAGACTTCTTGTCTGGTAGTCCTGCCTATACTTCTACTGGCCAATCAGTGTTTTATTCATCAACCAATAAGAGAAACATATATACAAAAGGATATTCCACATCAAGCCTTCAAACACACATGCATTATTTCCCTAGAGACACGTATCATAAGGAGCGAAGTAGTTATTACTGTACACACCAGATGAGGTCTTCTAACTGGGGGAGCCACCCTTTTTATAGTTGATGTGTCACAGGTCTAAGTACCATGTCAGGGATGGATGCTGGAGGAAGGACAGGCATTTTTCAACTCATCTCACCCCCTTGCTCATTTACCTTTAAGATCCTCCTTTCAGTTTAAAAATTATTTCTTTTATGTTTTGAGATTCTATTATTACTGCAGAATAACTTTTTGCCTTTCTCCCTCCAAACCCTCTCCTATATCACCCCTTTCTCTTTTTCAAATTCATGGCCTCTTTTCCATTATTGTTGCTACATGTATGTTGTATGTGTGTATGTATACACACAGATACATAAGAACAACCTTCTCAGTCTTCATAATGTTACTTGTTTATATGTTTTCAGGTCTTACTAAACACAACTGCCTAAACGTGAACTAAACAAAGATGATGATAATAGACATGTTTAAGTGGACAAGGGGAAACTCATGAGGACTCAACACTACACAAAGAACTATGGGAAACAAAGGAATGTTGATAGTGAGGGAAGTGGCCTTTCCCAGGGCAGAACACACCGATTGGCTACCCAATACTATTAATATCTTTTAAATATACATACGCACATGCATATACCCTACTATAGATACAGAGACCTGGCCTCTGAAGTCACGGTCATGCCAATTTTGTGCATATCCACAGTTTTGAGAAACGTAAGTGTTTCTATTGATATCCATTGGTTCCTCTTAGTTACACACCACCCTGCCTCTGTTGCCATTCCTAACTTGTTCAAAAAGCGTTATATCTACATTCATTCTTCCAGTTAAGGCATGCCATCTTGACTGTGATTCTCTACAAATTTACTACTGCTATCGCCCTTAGCAGCTAAGTTCTACAACAACATCCCCATTAACAAGAGCCAATGTGGGCAGAACCCAGGCCCAATACATTCTTGTTTTCAAGCCATCTGGCCTATTATGCATGAGCCATCAGCCCAAAGCACCTGTGTCTTCCAGGGCCACTAGAAGCAATTACAAAAAAAGTAAGAATGTGACTACTTACAGGAAGGGAAGAGGCACCCGCAGAAATGACACTGAAACATCATAGACTGTCAGGTGACAGCTCTCTTGGAAGAAATTAAAACAAACAAACAAACAAAGCCACTTAGGAGATGGTTCAGCAAGAACTGATAATAAGTCCTAATAACCCAGGAAAGGAATCATGTTTTCCATTCACCTTGAAAATGTAACCAGGAAAAGAAACTTGCCTAATTTGATAACACCTATTTATTAACACAAACAGTAACAAGGAAAGAATGCTGCATGTGAGGACAACAGCCCCTCTGCAGGGTATAAAAGGGGATGCGGGCAGGGAGACTCCCACTTCCAAACCTTCCAACCCACCTCCTTGTAAACCCGCCCAGAACCTCCACCTCTCACACCATGGTCAACTCCTGTTGTGGCTCTGTCTGCTCTGAGGAGGGCTGTGGCCAAGGCTGCTGCCAGCCCAGCTGCTGCCAGACTACCTGCTGCCGCCCCAGCTGCTGTGTGTCCAGCTGCTGCAGACCCAGCTGCTGCCGCCCCAGCTGCTGCATTTCTAGCTGCTGCAGGCCTTCCTGCTGCCGCCCCAGCTGCTGTGTGTCCAGCTGCTGTAGACCCCAATGCTGCATCTCCAGCTGCTGCCGCCCCTGCTGTAGCAGTTCCAGCTGCTGTGGATCCAGCTGCTGCCGCCCCAGCTGCTGCATTTCTAGCTGCTGCAGGCCTTCCTGCTGCTGCCCCAGCTGCTGTAGACCCCAGTGCTGCATCTCCAGCTGCTGCCGCCCCTGCTGTAGCAGTTCCAGCTGCTGCCGCCCCAGCTGCTGCATTTCTAGCTGCTGCAGGCCTTCTTGCTGCCGCCCCAGCTGCTGTGTGTCCAGCTGCTGCAGACCCCAGTGCTGCATCTCCAGCTGCTGCCGCCCCATCTGTTGCCAGACCACCTGCTGCCGCCCAGCATGCTCTAGTGGTTCCTGCTGCTGAGCCCTCTCACACACAGCCTCCAGCTCTTCATCACCCAGCATTCCTGATGTAGCCCTCCTGTGAGCTGAGCCTCAGGGGCTCATCTCTTTTACCTTGATTTAGGCCTCAAAATGAACCCACTCTTTCTTCCCTAACGAGCCCCCCTCTCTCTCCCTCCTCCCCTTCCTCTCCCTTTTCCCCCCTCTTTCTCCCCTGTCTCCCAAATATAAACAAATTTTGGATTTTCTCTCTAATTTCATATTACTCCCACTCTGGTGGGAGTTTATTTATTTTCTGCCCTATTTCTATAATAGACATATTTCGATATATAAAATAAATCTGAATTTTAGACATCTGAATGCAAATGCATCGTATCTCCTTATTTCTCCTTAATTGTTCTCAGCTGTCAGCTTTTTGTTAGCTCCTCTCAACATAAGGAAAATCCCATAGTAGATTAAGGAGGAGGAGGGAAGTTAGAAACCACATGCTTCCATTTGCATTCACAGAACCAGTCAGCATTCTCAGTGGGAATGGAAGCCAGCCCATCCAGTAGTTTCCTGCTCACATGTGCTCTGCTAGCTTCCTTCCCATCCTGGTCATTTCACTCATGAAATACCCATCTCAGAGCCCTGTCTTCTAATCTCAGTGTTGCTGGCCTTCTGCACATTTTCATGGGTTGTCACCATGAATGGTGTGACCTTTGGATTGCTTCCCACTTAATTGCAAATCTCCTTAAAATTTTCTCTCTTCACAACTTTTGCACCATTATTTTATCTATTAATCCTTATATATTTGTCTGTTCTGCCCCCTTACTGTATCTGAGCCCTAGAGAGCAGTGTCCATGGCAGTAAAACTCTAGAGGATAATATGTTTAAAGAGGTGCCGCCTCATGGTATGTGAACTATGTGGGATTCACTGAAAAGGACAACTAGACCCAGGGATTTTTGCCAAAAGAAGTCTAATAAGGAAATCCTCTTGAACACAATCTGTTAGACAGTCATGGAAGCCAAGTTAGATTCCTAAAAAAATCTGTTATCAGTGAAGCCCACCTTTCTGATCTCCAGCAGGCTGTAGAGTATGAACACCTCTCCTGAAGATAAGGTGGTTCAATCTTTGCTCTGTTGCTTGGTATTAGGCCTCTGTTGCTCTGTTGCTCTGGTAGGCCTCCACAGTGTCAGAGAAGAGGTGTGTTTACAGTATATTTCTCCTACTCACTGCACTTCCGTTCACCCAGAGAGCAGAAGCCCTGTGCTTCACATTAGGATGTGGACAAGGCCTACTTCTTGGATTCTTCGCACACATCAGAGCGTGCGGGGGGGGGGGATGTAGGGAGGGAGAGAGAGAATAAAGTTTGGTATTTAGGGAGGTGGGAAGTATCATGGAAGATTTGGGGGGAGGGGAAGAATATGCTCAAAATAGGTTGTATGAAAATATTTTTGAAATAAAAACAAAACATCAAAAAACAATATTTGAGAGAGAGAGAGAGAGAGAGAGAGAGAGAGAGAGAGCAGGACATTTTCATAACACTAACTACACAGATATGTTATTTGCTAGTACTTAAGGATATGGAAAATGATACCAAATCTTCAACATCTGGCAAAATCCATTTTCCAGTGCCGCAGATGTCATTAACATTACACACGTATACGTTAGTATCCTCATTACTCAAAACTGACCTAAGCTATCAAGACCTTTGCCTTTTTCCCCACAAAATACCACAAAATGGGCATCATTCACATTTATTAGTGAAAAACATACATAACAAAACAATTATCATTATGGTAGAGGATACAGACAGAGAGGAAAAGGGCTGTAATCTCAAACACAGAGACTCACATGACAGTCCTCTGAGAGGGAGATGAAAACGGCACACTCCAGAAGCAATCAGAACCAAATGTGAGTCAGGAGGAGACCAGATCAGTAGAACTTATTTATCACACCTGGACAAGAAAATTTTGTTTCTCATAAATTAAGCCACTAAGTGGGTAAATGCTATTCAAACTTATAATTACTCGTCTAGGTAGGAAATAAAAATAAGGAAAGCATTTCCAAGGAATGAGTACGAGGCTGTGGTACAGGAGTCATCTAAACTCCAGAACCTCATCTTCTTGGATTGTAGCCTCTGAGAATGTGGTCAATTACTCTTGTGGCTCTGCCTGCTCATTGCAGGGCTATAGCCAAGGCTGCTGCTAGGTAAGCTGCTGCGGACCCAGCTACTGCATCTCCACTTGTGGTAGTTCCAGCAGCTGAGGCTCCAAGAGATGTGCCTACTGCTATGTGCACGTATGCATGGCCAACTCTTGTTGTAGCACACACCATCACTTAACCCACATCATCTGCATCAGCCACCACTGTGTATATTCTTCTTGCTGCTGATTTCTGTTTGGAATATTTGTAACACCATGGGTGTTTTCACTAGTCACATAAAATGTATCATAACAATCTAGTGACTGGAAAAATGGAATCTAAGCTACTAAGTCCTCTTTGATGAAACGGAGCTGAATTCAGTTCCTACTGAAAACAGCAAGAGTAAATACAAATGATATTTTAACCCAAGCTGAGTGTATGTAATTTTTAGACAGCACATATCTACAGTCTGAGGACTGGATAACTATGATGACACCATAAAGCACTGTTTCCACGAGATCTCAACTAAAAGCTATTTCCCATCTTACTAAAATCTCCTAATGGGTAAATATTTCATCGTGTGTGTGTGTGTGTGTGTGTGTGTGTGTGTGTTTGCACATGTGTTTATCTGTTACTCCATACCAGGACCACTTTTTCACCATCAATGTATGTAGAAGAGCATGCTTAGGAGCAGGAGCACTTTATTCTTGTCACCTGGTTTGAGTCAGGACAGTCCAGGGTATTTGCAGTGTGACACAGAGAAGGCTATTGACATTTTCAGATCTCAGAATGACTCTGAAAACTATGGGCAACACATTATACATTATGACTTTCCAAGATTTAAAGACCTAATCTGTGTCATATACTTATCACAGGGTCTCACATTTCATATAGATTCTCCATATCTATACTTTTTTGTTATTGAAAAGCTACCTTAGGCTAAAAATGGTATCTTAGCAGGGCATTCTCTTTGATGAATATCAGGAAAATATATATCACTCATTGATTCTCCTGTATAATTTAAGTGAAGCATTGGTCTGTGTCTAAGGATTACAGGGCATTCAAAATTATGAAGTTATCTGTATTTCACTGGACTATGTTTCGTGTTCCAGTGTGTTCTATTCTTGGCTGCATAAATTTTGAGCATCTTTCCTTGTATCCTCCTTATTTCTTTCCTTCCTCTCTAAACATAAAACTCTTTGAAATAATGTGTACCTCTTAACCCACGAATCTTAAGACTAGAGAAACTGCTGTGTCAGTAGAGTCTAGCCAGGAGTTGATCACATTCTCAGGTACAGGAAAATCATTAGTGGATTGAAAATCAAATCCACGTGTTTTCCTCTCCTCCCCCTCTCTTTCTCCTATTTCTCTCTCCATTCACTGCCCCCCCCCACTTCCCTATGCTCTGGGGGACTTGTCCCTTCCCCCTTCTGTGAGGGACTTCATATGAATCTCTTATAATACACCTTGTATCCTAATTCCTCTGGTGGTGTGAATTATAGGCTGGTGAGCCTTTGCTCTAGGTCTAAAATCCATATATGAGTGAGTACATACCATGTTCCTCTTTTTGTGACTGGGTTACCTCATTCAGGATGGTTTCTTCAAGTGCCATCCACTTGCCTGCGAATTTCAAGATTCCATTATTATTATTTATTTATTTATTTATTTATTTATTTGTTTGTTTTTTTTGCTGAGTAGTATTCCATTGTGTAGATGTGCCACATCTTCTTTATCCATTCTTCAATTGAGGGGCATCTAGGTTGCTTCCAGGTTCTTGCTATTACAAATAATGCTGCTATGAACATAGTTGAACACATGTCTTTGTTGCTTGGATGTGAATCATTTGGGTATGATTCCCCCCTAAGAGGGGGATTGCCGGGTCCTGTGGTAAACTAATTCCCATTTTTCTGAGGAACCACCATGCTGATCTCCAAAATGGCTGTACGAGTTTGCACTCCCACCAGCAGTGGAGGAGTGTCCCCCTTTCTCCACATCCTCTCCAGCATAAGTTGCCATTGGTGTTTCTAATTTTAGCCATTCTGGCAGGAGTAAGATGTATCTCAGAGTTGTTTTGATTTGCATTTCCCTGATAGCTAAGACTATTGAGCACTTTCTTAAGTGTCTTTCAGCCTTTTTGATTTCCTCTATAGAAGACAAGAGAGAGAGAGAGAGAGAGAGAGAGAGAGAGAGAGAGAGAGAACATAAAAGAAGGAGCCAATATTGGTTTGAAGAGAAAACTGAACCTAAAGAAAGATATAAAGACCTACAAGACTGCCACCAACTAACAATCTGAGCAACCGTGGAAAGGCTACCTTAAATGCCCTTCCCGGATAGTGAGATCAACAACTAACTTATTCATGGAGCCCTCATCTAATACCTGTTGGAAACAGAAGCAAACACTCATACCTAATCACTGAGTCGAACTGGAATCCAGATGCAGAGAGAGAGGACAAGACCAGGCTGCAGAAACACATAGAGACAGGTGACCTGAACAAGGAGGAGCTAAAAGGCCACCAGACTGATAGCTGGGAATCCACTATGGGACTGACTCAGGCCCCCTGAATATGGGTCTCAGCCAGAAGGACTGAGCAGTCTAAGGGACCTCGGACAATGGAACCAGGATGTATCCCTGGTACACAAAAGGACCTTGCGAGCACATCCCCCATGGAGGGATAACTGCCTTAACCTAGAGACAGGAGAGAAGTCCTAGTCCCTACTTCAAATGACCTGACAGATCTACATGACCCCACCTGGATGGCATTACCCTACATGTGGAATTGGGGTGCGGGTATGGGAGGGGAGGGTGGTCAGGGTGCCTGTGAGGCGGCAGAGAGGGTAAAAGAGGAGAGAGGGAGGAAGGGAGGGAGAGGGAACTGGGATCGACATGTAAAATAATAAATTAAATAAAAAAAAGAAAATCAAATCCAAAATACATAAAAGAAGTTACTATTTTTGAAGATGGCTGTTATGATTAGTTTTAACTGTCAACTTTATGCACTCTAGAACCATCAAGGAAGACAGTTTTCATGAGGGATAATTTAGGTCAGGTTGGCCTTTGGACATGTCTGAGAGGGATTGTCACCAGGTAAGCAATCTACTGCCCCCCTCCCTTAAGTAACTTTTTAGACCTAAATTCTGGTAGCCCTAAAAGAGATTCACATAATTATATGAAGCTTGGTTTGGAGCACCATTAATTTTTAATGTATTCTTTGATACTTTCATACATGTGCATGACATATTTTGATCATGTTTTCTTCTGTCATCCTTTATTATACCTACCTACTCCCACTGAACTTAGTTATCTTGCTTCCTTAGCTCCCCCCCCCATTCTTTATCTGTTTTTGTGATCCGCTGAGCTTAGTTGAGATTGTGTTCATAAGCATGAATGTGGGGATTATTTACTGGAGCACAGAAAACTTACCAATGGTTATGCCACTAAATGACCGCCTCCTCCACCAGCCTTTAACTGAGTGGCTCCTTGGGGAGGTGTGAGACCATTTCCCATCCATGCCGACTGTATGAGTCTTGTGCAGGTGACCATACACACTGTGAGTTCATGGGTATAAGGACTATGCCACATGCAGAAGACAATGGTTTACAGTGCCCCATCCCTTCTCCCAGCTCGTACATTCCATCCGCTTGCTCTTTCGGGATGTGGCAATGTAGAAGTCCTGTTTGAGACTATAGGTCACTGTGTTAGCTGCCACCCACTGTTGAGGAATTCCTCTTGCCACGGTTGAAGGCAGCATTTCTCTGGAATACTGGTATATGGTGTAAACTTAACGAGTGCAATTTCTGTGTAAGCATATGGGAAATTGAAAACAGGTCTTAGAATCATCTTGCTGTCTCTAAAAACTAAAAGGATTACGAAAACTTCTAGAATATATGAAAATATTTTGGTAAAATGTCAATAAAGTGTAATAGTGGGATATCTTAATATTACTGAAAAAAAATGAATTTAAAACTGTTGGTTATGTCATTCTAGCTCAGCCTAGAAGTAACTATAAAGATGGATCTCAGTCCCAGATGGCTTTTCAGGGACATTAAAATACTGAGTCATGCCTAGCCTTCCCACCATGCATCAATCAGGGTGCTGAGACTGACCATATCTTGGAATGTCCTAGGAATTCCACTAGCTCAGTGGGCACCTAGAATGTACACATGGATCATGGGCATCCTGAACTCTCATATTTGAAAGAGGAGACCTTATTTCCTGTTTTCGTTGCAGTGGTACACATGACAGAAGCCAGCATTTATCTACCATGAATTCCAGCTCCATGAGGAGCCCCTCTGAAATCAGGTAGTGCTGAGAACTGAAGCACAGCCAATGACTCTGCTGTGTCATATGACAAGCAGGCACTGAAGTCATGTAATATGGCAGCTGAGGGGAAAATACAAGAGGTGATTCAAGGGGAAACAGCAGGAAACATGAGAAAAGGGGAGTAATTATTTCCTGAATGTTGTTAGTTTTTACTAGAAAGCTGCCGTCTATTAATTTGCATTTGTATCATGTAAACAAAAACAAGGAAATAATATTCTCATAATTACAGAAGCAATTTAGCCCAGTATAAAAGGGGACCTGCAGAAAGGACACTACAAAACGTGAAATTCACTCACTTGTAAACCAGACCAGAACCGCCACCTCTCACACCATGGTCAACTCCTGTTGTGGCTCCATCTGCTCTGAGGAGGGCTGTGGCCAAGGCTGCTGCCAGCCCAGCTGCTGCAGACCCAGCTGCTGCGTGTCCAGCTGCTGCAGACCCAGCTGCTGCCAGTCTGTGTGCTGCCAGCCCACCTGCTGCCGCCCCAGCTGCTGCAGACCCAGCTGCTGCGTGTCCAGCTGCTGCAGACCCAGCTGCTGCCAGTCTGTGTGCTGCCAGCCCACCTGCTGCCGCCCCAGCTGCTGCAGACCCAGCTGCTGTGTGTCCAGCTGCTGCAGACCCAGCTGCTGTGTGTCCAGCTGCTGCAGACCCAGCTGCTGCCAGTCTGTGTGCTGCCAGCCCACCTGCTGCCGCCCCAGCTGCTGCAGGCCTTCCTGCTGCCAGCCTAGTTGCTGCCGCCCCTGCTGCCGCCCCTGCTGCTGCCTGCGTCCAGTCTGTGGTCAGGTCTGCTGCCACAGCACCTGCTACCGCCCCACCTGCGTCATCTCCACCTGCCCCCGCCCCATGTGCTGTGCCACCCCTTGCTGCTGAGACCTTCCTTTTCTGAACGCAGCCATTTTTCCCACCCCCTTTGTTATAAAAATAGACCTCGTGTACCTCTTAGCTATCCTGAGAGAGGCCATTCCTGTCAACTGTGTGCCCATATCCCAGACTCCAGAAAGCCGTCTCTGTTGACTTCAACCTCGTCTCGGGCCAAAATATGAAATTGGAGGTTAAGAAATTAATAAGGAGGGAGGTGGGAGTAGATCCTGAAGGAGTTATGGGGGAGGAGTGGAGGTATTAATGCGATCAAAATACATTGTACGTGTATATGAAATTCTCAATTAATACAAAATGTGATATTTCAAAAATAAATTAATTAGAGTACAGGTCTTCTCCATCCAAATGGAAGTGCCTCCAGCTCCTGTAGAGTCAGGTTATACCTTTACAGCTGAAAGTCTCACAGTGCCACCTTGCTCTCCCTTTAGCTGTGACATTTCTGTACCTTATTGCTGCTACTCTAAATAAAATGCATTTCATTGGAATAGAAATCCAATTATTCTTTCTCTGTTGCTTTATAATGATTGTCTCCAGTTAATGAAAATCATACTCAAAGCCTAGCTACACCAAACTTTCCTGACCCTGCTCTCATGACTTCAGAAAATGCTCAACACGATGAGTCAAAACCAGAAAGGAAAAAAAAAAAAAAAAAAAAAAAAAGGAAGTAACTGCAGTCAGTTGTTTGCAGGGAGCTCTTGAGTGCATCAACCTCCCATGTCCAGAAGACTCTGACTTTTACACACTTTCCACTCTACTTTTCATGATCTTTCCTGAGCAGAGTGTATAAGTGTGTGAGTGTACATGCGCCTGTGTGTGTGTGTGTATGTATGTGTGTGTGTGCACGTGTGGGGTGTGTGTGTGTGTGCATGTGTGTATGCATTTTACCAGGCCTGAGTTCTCCCCAGTCCCTTACCCTCTACTTTGATGGTTGTGAGTCTGCATTATCTGGCCATGTCTACTACAAAAAGATGCTGTGTTGATGAGGGCTGAGAGATGCCTACTGTCTTCAGAAGTCTTGCTGCTGATAAGTTGCCGGTGTGATACAAAATAACCTCCTACCAGCCCTCACACAGCCAGGCCTGCTTAAACTCAGTAGGTCACACCCACAGGGAAAGGCACACAAAGAAGGAAGGGGGACTGGTCAGGAGGGTTGAGGCTAGGTGACAAGAAATGACAAAGACTAAACCCCACCACATACAGGAATGAAAATGCCAGAAAGCAAACAATAAACTAAGTGGTGCTGGGGAGATGAGCTCTGTCTGCTCTCCCAGAGCACCTTGGTTTAATTCCACAGGGCAGTTCACACCTGTCTGTAACTCCAGCACCAGGGGAACCGACACCCTCACTAAACATGAAAACTTAAATTATATATAAAGGAGAAAATAAGAAGGGAAGTCAAAAAGTGAAAGAATATTTTAAGAAATTCTGTACCAAGTATTTAAATCACATTCAGCTTTTCATAGTATTTCATTAAAACACTTTTTTTTGGCTTTCTGTTTTAATTTTAAAATTTAATTTTATTTAAATAACATTTTTCTTCATTTATTTTATATACCAACTACATTTTCCCCTCTCTCCTCTTCTTCAAGTCCCACCTCTTCCCAAATACCCCTTCCCCTTCCGCTCCTCCTCCTTCTTCAATCAGAAAGAGGAAGGCCTTCAATGAGTTTGAGCAAAACAAGGCACATCAAGTCGAGGCAGGACCAAACTCCTCCCCTTGTGTCAAGACTGGGAAAGGTAATCCAGCATGGGAAACAGGGTCCCAAAAGCTGGCTGAGTCCCAGGGACAGGTCCTAATCTTATTACTAGGAGACCAAGCTACACAACTGTCATACACATGCAGAGGGCCTAGTTCAGTCTCATGGAGGTTCCCTAACTGTTGGTCCAGAGACCTTGAGCTCCTATGAGCTCAGATCAGCTGTCTCTGTGGGTCCCATCATCACGACCCTCCTGGCTCACACCACCAACCCCTCCTCTAAGACTTCTGAAGCTTAGCCCAATGCTTGGCTGTGGATCTCTGCCTCTGTTTCCATCAGTTACTGGATAGACTATCTCTGAGGACAATTAGGGTAATCACCAATCTGCTTACAATAGATGCTAGAAATCTTAGCTGGGGTTATCTTTGTGAATTCCTTGGAGCTAGGTTTCTGTCCCCAAAGTGCACACCCAACAAGATGTTTGTTTCATTACTCTCCCCCCCCCCCAGTTCTGCCACCAATATACCAGTCTGTCATCACTTTAATTAACTGCATGGACATCAAAATGAGTGGTGTTAAGAACACATGGAGAGAAATCCTTTTTTAAAATGCCGAAGTATGGCTGTGCTGAGTTTTTGCTTTTCTTTTCTTTTCTTTTTCTTCCTACATGAAACTGAGTATTGTCATTTCAAGTTCTGTAAATAATTGTGTTAGAATTTTGATGGTGATTGCATTAAAACTGTAGATTGCTTTTGGTGGGATGGCCATTTTTATTCTGTTCATCCTACAGATTCATGAGCATGGGAGATCTATCCTCTGATATCCTCTTCAATATCTTTCTGCAAAGACTTGAAGTTTTTGTTATACATGTCTTTCACTTGCATGGTTAGGGTTACCCCAAGATATTTTATATTTTTGTGGCTATTGTGAAGGGTGCTGCTTCCCTGATTTCTTTCTCAGTCTGTTTGTCACTTGAATATAGGATGGCTAGGGATTTTTTTTTCTTTTCTGAGTTAACATTGTATCTAGCTATATTGCTGAAGGTGCTTATCAGCTGCAGGAGTTCCCTGATAGAATTTTTGGGGGTTGCTTATGTATGCTATTGTATCAATTGCAAATATGTTGCTTTGACTTCTTATTTTACAATTTATAAACCCATGATCTCCTTCAGTGTCTCATTGATCTGGCAAGAACTTTAAGTACAGAGAAAGTGGACAACCTTATTTTGTTCCTGATTTTAGTAGAATTGCTTTGAGTTTCTCTCCATTTATTTTAATGTTGGCTATAGGCTTGCTGTATATCACCTTCATTATGTTTAGGTTTTACCTTGTATCACAATTTCTTCAAGACATTTATCATGAAGGGGTGTTGGAATTTTGTTTTTGAGTTTTTTTTCAGCATCTAATGAAATGATCATGTATTTTGTTTTGTTTTGTTTTTTCCTCTCAGTTTGTTTATATGGTGGATTATATTGACTAGGTTTCATATGTTGAACCATCCTGCATCTCTGGGATGATCACAGTGGATGGTTCTTGGATTCAGTTTGCAATTTTTTTGAGTATTTTTGTATCTATCTTCATAAGGGAAATTAGTCTGTAATTCTCTATCTTGGTTGAACCTTTGTGTAGTTTGGGACTGTGACCTCATAAGAATAATTTGGCAATGTTCCTTCTGTTTCTATTTTGTGAAATAATTTGAGGAGTATTGGTATTACCACTTCTTGGAAAGTCTGGCAGAATTATGTGCTAAAACTGTCTTTTTAGGCCTGGGCTTTTTTGGAAGTAGGGGAAGACTTTTAATGACTCTTACAAGCAGTTTCCCTCCAGCCTGGTCTCACTGCCATGTCAGCCCTAAATAACACACAGAGATGCTGTATTAGATATAAAGCTGTTGGTGTGTTACTAATGTTTCTTATTGGCTAGCTCTGTTTTAAATATTAACCCATTTCTATTAATTGAGTTGTTACCACATGATTTTATCTTACTGGAAAGAGGGTCCAGACCTCTTCTCTCAAGTCCCTACATCTTGTCTCTCCTCCACTGTATCTCCCAGAATCGTCCTTGTCTCCTAATTCCACCTATCTTGCCTTCTTCTTATTTGCCAACAGTGTCTTATTCATTAACCAGTAAGAGTAACATATTTACAGAATGACATCTCCCATCATCTCCTCTTTTCTGTCTAAAATAAAGGATTTTAACTTTAACATAGTAAAATATATATCAAAATAGTTACCAATATGAACTATAGTTAACAATATTCAGTCCATTAACATTTAGTAAGATTTAAAGAAAATATTCCATCATCTATCCTATCTTTGTGAGTCTAAAGTCTTATATTTAACTTATCTTTAAACCTAACTAAGGAAAATTATAACCATAACTATCTGTCTTCAACTCCCTCAAAGACCACAGAAGGATAGTATAGAAACTCTAGAAATGACAGAGACAACTCTCTGCCTGGTCAGTCACTCGAAGTTCTTCTGTAATGTTCCATCTTCAGCCTATAGGCCATAGTGTGTCTGGAAGATTTCTCAGCAAAGCAGGAAATTTCAAACTGCCCACTTGTGTTGGCAGTTTGTCAGTCATTTTTCTCTGTGTCCTGCAGACTGTCTGGCAGACTCTTTCACAAAGCAGGAACCCTACAGCAATGTCCATCTTGTTTTGGCAGTCACTTTCCTGTGGGTCCTGCATGTCCAGTTTATACAGCATAAAGTCAAACAGTCCAGACAAGAGCAGTATCTTACCCAAATGGCTAGTCTTGCCATATGAGAAGTAAACTCCATAAGGACTTTCTTTTATGTCGCCTTCCTTTCTGACACAGGTGGTGTTGCCAAAAGCAGTTGTGCCTCACTGTTAAGAAAAACCCTAAACCATTTTAAATGCCATATACTGTATGTTTTTGAAAGGTTTGAAGAATGCCTATCCATCTCAAATATATCTCTCTATGTCTAGAAAACCTAACTAACTTAACTATGTTTTGACTATTATAGGTAACTATAATCTGTACTAAATTATACATTACATTTTAAATATAAATACAAATCCTAAACAAGAGGAGAAATATACATATCACAAAATTGACCTTAAATTGTATCAATAAATAAAAATCCATTCCAAAACAAAGTATTCATTTCTATGCTGTAATCCCCTTTTTACCTTTAGAAAGAGATTGGTTGTGATCAGAAACCATTTATAACCAACCCCGTTTAAATGAAAACAAACATTTATAAACAACATTTGGGAATTTGGGCATCGTTCTTTCCAAACACAATAGCATACAGTATCCAGACTCTCTGTGTATTTTTCATTTTTAGGTAGCTTTTTTATTACTCTATTTCTTTTACTTCTATTTTTTCATTGTTTGAAAAAGGGTTTCTCTGGGTAACTTTGGATGCCCTGGAATTCACTCTGTACATCAATCAGGCTGTCCTTGAAATCACAGAGATCTGCTTACCTCTGCTTCCCGATTGCTGGAAATAAAGGTGTGTGCCACCACACCCAACTATTCTCTATTTTCTTGTTTCTTTTTCTCTCCCAAGAGCACGTATATTTTAAAACACACTGTAAACCTTTAGAAGTTTTTCTTTATCTGAATCTATCTTTACTGTAAATCTTTATCTATTTCTGCTCATGAGTCTTTTATCTGCTAAATGACAACATTGCTAAAATGAAAGCTACAGCTGTTTTAGCTGCAGTCTATCCAAGATGGTGGGGTACGTTTACTGCCAGCACTAAGAACTATGCTCAACACACTGGTCTATGCTGCCATCAAGCAGCATACTGCCAGCTTGGAGATGTCATCACTGCCAGCTGTCATACCCACCATTCATTTGTTAACAGGGTTTGCTGCTTATGCTGAATCAGGAAACCCCCTTAAAGGAGCCATGCGAGTCTCTGCTTATCTCTAGCAAAACAGAGCCTAACCGAGAAAAATGCTGCTACTAAGACCTACTTGTCTCTGTTTTGTTGTTTCTAAAATCCCTTTTAAAGCTTTTGTTAACTTTTAAGTGGAAGTTTTTGTACCCATGTTGTAGGCGCCATTTGTTACAAACACTTTCCCTCCAGCCTGGTCCCACTCCATGTCAGCCCCAAATAGCATACTAGTAACTGCTTCTATTTCCTTAAGGGTTATAGATTATTTGTTTATCTTATTTGATTTAACTTTGATAAGTGGTATCTATTGAGAAAATTATCCATTTCTTTTATACTTTCCAATTGTGTGGAGTACAGGTTTTTAAAGCATAATCTAGTGATTCTTTGTATTTCTTGGGTGTATGTTGTTATGCCCCCCTTTTGTTTCTGATTTTGTTAATTTGGATATTCTTTCTCCCTTTCTTTTAGTTAGTTTAGATAAGGGTTTGTTATTTTCTCAATGAATCAGTTCTGTTTCATGGATTCTTTATATTCATTTTGTTTGTTTGTTTTGATCTTATTGATTTCAGCTCTCAGTTTGATTATTTCCTGCTGTCTACTCCTCTTGGGTGTGCTTGCTTCTTTTTGTTCTAGAGCTTTCAGGTTAGGTTTGCTTTTAAGTCACTAGTATGAGATCTCTCAAATTTCTTCACGTAGACACTAAGTGCTATGTTTGTTCCTCTTAGTGCCGCTTTCATTATGTCTCATAAGTTTGGGTATGCTGTGCAGTCATTTTCATTGAATTCTAGGGAGTCTTTAATTCCTTTATTTCTGTTTTGACCCAGTAACTATTCAATAGAAATTTTAGTCTCAGTTCCTTTCATACTTACAAACTTTTATTTTTGAAAAGAATCAGGCTTACTGAACAATTGCAATGATAATGCTAAGACTTCCTCACTCTATGCTGCTTTCATTGAGATTTATAATTTTATCACACTTGATTTCTATCTATATAGACACATAAGGATGCAGGTAGGTAGGTGGATGGAAGGATGAAAAGAGGGAGGGAAGGAATGAAGGAAGGAACAAAGACCAATGAATGAACTGTTGGACCTGTAATGCATGGATGTGTGTGTGTGTGTGTGTGTGTGTGTGTGTGTGAGTGTGCAGGTGTACATGTGCATGTGTGTATCCTAAAACTAGGGACATTTTTATACAGATATATACATATATATACAGATATAAAATTAAATTATGTGCTATACAATACTATTACCTATTGTCTAATGTGCATTCCATATCCAAATGTTGTCAATACTGTCCTATAGTAGAATTTGTATTCATAGCTATACATTACACTTAGAAATTGCATGGCTTTTATTTTCTTAAATCCAAAGCATTTCCTTGGCCTGTCACCACATTAGAAGATTTTGACAGAGCTAAAGAGGATGGTCCAGTCATTGTGTGCAGAATACCTCAGATTTTGTTTATGGTATGTTTCCTTATAGCTACAGGAATAATAAATGAGATGTCTTTTCAAAGTGTGACTGCATTTATCACATGTGTGTTCACACAAGCGTGTGTCCATGCACACAGGTGTCTGCATTCATGTGTGTGCAGATGCAAATATGTGCTAATGTTTGTGGAGACCACAATATCACCTTGGCTATCATGCCTCAGGCACTGTCTATCACTTTGATTTTGAGACAAGATCTTTCACTGGCCTGCTACCCAGCAAACCCAGGGTTCCACCTATCTCTGCCTCCCCAGTGCTGGAGTAACAAGTACATGTCACTATGCTTGGAATACCGTCTGGGGATTGAACTCAGGTCCTCATGCTGGCAGAGCAAGCGTTGAACCATCTTTACAGCCCTAAAACCAATGCTGATTCCCAGGTTGAGTTCTCTCACAGAAACTTAGTATTTTTTCCATTTTGAAACTGAAAAATATACAAATATCACATTCCCAGTCAAACTTTTATCCAATCAGTTTAGAATTTGTTGAGATTTCCCTAACCAAGTATTATTATCATGGATATTGAATCTCTGTAACTCCCTTACAACTTTCCCATTTAACTCAAAACCATTCCACTGTTGTGGAGAGATTCTTGCCTTCTTCTATTTCTCTGCTTAGTCTTAGTATAGACAGATTATTCTTTTTTCACTTGATGTGTTGAAATCCAGTGCTGTCATTATTTGTTTTGGTGTTCAAGTTACCCCATACTGGGCCAGTGAGAGTGCCTTCAAGGTGGCACCAAAGACCTTTTCATATTTAAAACAGTGAGTCATGGGTGACAACTTGAAACTCAGTAAAGGAAGTAACATTTCTACTGCATACTTGGAGGTAGTCTTGACAGCCCACCATCTAATGAGCATCCATGACTCACAGACAAATGTTCTTCCTCATAGCTCACAGGGAACTATCTCACAATGATAACCTACCCCACCCCCTGCATTTCCTTGCTATCATCATACTTCCCTTCAACATCAAAAGAGTTGTGAGCACCATGAGACACATTGGCATCATGAGTGATACACAAACCATAAGCATAAGCAGTGACCAAGCAAGCATAAGCAGGGTGGACAAACAAGCAAATGGGGAGGGCAATTCTGTAGCAAAAACTAGATAAGGTAATCTTAATGAACAAGGAAAAGGAACTCTAATTTTTCCTCATCTTAAAGTATTTAAAAAGGCAAGCCAATGATCTGACTTAATAATGCCAATTTCTTTAGGAAAAAGAAAAACAACTTGGAAACATTCCAAGTTGTGGTAACAACACCAGTAGCAGAATATAAAAAGGGACATGCAGCACAGGGATTTTCAGATTCTCTACACTGCTTACCCTGCTTACACTGCTTACTTACTAACTAGAACCTCCACCTCTGACATCATGGTCAACTCCTGTTGTGGCTCCATCTGCTCTGAGGAGGGCTGCTGCCAGCCCAGCTGCTGCCAGACTACCTGCTGCCGCCCCAGCTGTTGCCGCCCCAGCTGCTGCGTGTCCAGCTGTTGCAGACCCAGCTGCTGCCAGTCTGTGTGCTGCCAGCCCACCTGCTGCCGCCCCAGCTGCTGTGTGTCCAGCTGCTGCAGACCCAGCTGCAGCAGACCTCAGTGCTGCCAGTCTGTGTGCTGCCACCCCTGCTGCCGCCCCAGCTGCTGCATCTCCAGCTGCTGTCAACCCTCCTGTGGTGGTTCCAGCTGCTGCAGTCCTTGCTGCCGCCCCTGCTGCCACCCCTGCTGCCGCCCCTGCTGCTGCCTGCGTCCAGTCTGTGGTCAGGTCTGCTGCCACAGCACCTGCTACCGCCCCACCTGCGTCATCTCCACCTGCCCCCGCCCCATGTGCTGTGCCACCCCTTGCTGCTGAGACCCTTGCCACAGATCCATTTCTGCCTCTATAGATTCAGATCTTGTGACTGTGTTTTAACTTGAAACACACAGAGTGGGTTGATGCTGTGAAATCAACTCATTAGTCCAATGAGAAGCCAGACCATGGATGATGTCTGGAATCTGGATTTAACCTGGAAATAAGTTTTACTCAGCCATCAAACAACTGGAAAAACACTTCTCCTCATGCCCTCTCTACGGGACTCTGAATTGGAATGATCTAATATATTTCTGTACCAAAGGAAAGTTCCCATTTCTCCATAATAAAACTTCAGTGTGACTGTTACTCTTTTAAGATGGTGTCTACTCTTCCTAAACAAGTGTGTTTGGGGGTTGGAAGATGGTTCTGTCAGTAATGCCCTTGCTGCACAAGCATGAAGACCTGAGTTCAATCACCAGAATCTGTGTAAAAGGCCAAAGGTTGTAACACATGATCATAAATTCAGTACGGGGTGGGGGGGCATAGCAAGTTAGTCCCTGGGCTGCTGGGCTAGACAGGTTAGCCTAATTGGTGAACCTTAGGTCCCAGGGAGAGACTCTGCTTCAAAAACTAAGATAGACAGACATCAGAGGTTGACCTCTGGCCTACCCAAACACACACACACAAACACAAACAGGCACAAACAGGCGCCCGTATTTCACCTGCAGAATATGCATACACACACATCACACCACACACACACACACACACACACACACACACACACACACACACACAGAGCAAGTGTATTTCACCTACAGAACACACAAGAAAATCTTTTTGCTTTTCAGCTTCCATTAGTCACTGACTTTTCTCCAGGTGTCTTACTGTCTGCACTATAATCAATGTTAGGGAAAGGGAAAAGCTGTGAAACAGTCCAGAACTTGCAGGACTTCAAAATGTCAGAGCATGAACGACACAATGAGTGCTTCACACTTCACACTTCACACCAAATAGCTTGCATCTTTGGGATACGGATGCTGCAAACCTGTAGTCCTTCTGCCTCCACAGAGAGCAGGGCTTCAGTATGAGCACAAAGCACATTGACACCTATGCCAAGATGAAACTTGGTTGTTTATATGTTAGCCTCATATATTAATTGGAAAATAATATAGCAGACATGCTCCAATATCAGATTGAAATGTATTTGAAGTACTGTAGGACTTCACCTACAGCTCACATATGGAGGACAGAATCATATCTGAGAGGAGAGGATAGATCCAGCAGGGAAAATTAACAAGCTAAATGTGTTCGACTGTAAACTGTGGCCAACTGCAGGTGGCATGTCTACATCAGAAAAGACCCCCAGAGCTCCTGGCGATTGTTTCCATGTCCTATTGGAATATAGGCCTGCTGAAAAGCAAGTCTGCTGCCAGACCCTCTGAGATTCCAGGCTCTTCATACATTCACTCAAAGAGCATCATTGAATGCTCCAACACAGCCCCGGTTATAAGTGCTGAGGCAACAGGGCAATCAACATGCACAAGGCTCTGCACTTAGGAGTCTACACCATAGTGGAGTTTTTTAAATAAAGCATCTGATGTGCATCCCATTTCCCAAGGGATGAAGCAATGGCTCAGTGGTTAAAAGCATTGGCTGATCTTCCAGAGGACCTGTGTTTGATTACCAGCACCAACATGGTGGCTTTACAACTGACTGTAATTCCAATTACAAGGAATCCAACACTTCCTTCGGGCCTCCATGGGTACCAGGTACACACATGGTACATAGACATTAGTGCTGGCAAAACACCCATATACAGAACATAAAATGAGATAAAAACAAAACAAAAAGTAAAACGTTTGTCCTGGCTGAATTTGAAATAATTACTCTGTAAGGTAGAGCTTATACTTGGCAGCGATCTCCAAATCAAAGCAAAGTAAAACTTGCTTTCAATGCAGAGTATCATTTTTTATACAAAGCTTGGAATAACCCAAATGTTTCTCAGTAGAACATTATCCAGATGAGCTATGTTACATCCACAAAACTGAGTATTACATAGCTGAAATGCAATGAGAACTATCTGAGGCCACTACTACAGAATAAAAAGTAACATGCCATTGCTGTGGTGCACTCAGCGAACCAAAGCAAACTGTAACGAAGTGTGTGTAGTATAAGAACAGTTATCAAAAAGCTGGCAGTAAATATGAACTTGTATTAAGATAATAATGTGAGAACAACCTTCAATTTAAAACATGACAAACATTTAAGTTGGCTGATACGCTAATTAGTCTGGGTTAATCATATGCACAGGAGTCAAGAAATTGCACTGTACCTCCCAAATATATACACATAGCACGTGTCAACCAAAGGTAAGTTCTACCCTACAGGAGAGCGAGCATGTGCAGAGAAGAAAGACAAAAGCAAGACTTCTTTGGATGTGCCTCATTTTGTAAAAATTATTTTGGAACCTAAAAATAATTTGCATAATTATAAAACAATTAAAAATTTAAAGTTATTTTAGCACTATGAGAAACAAGTGTGGGCTATATAGTTAATTCCAAGTATATTCTCTTTTTTTTCCCATGATCAAAATTCAGCTCGAGGAAGAGGAGTTTGCTTTGCTTACACACAATGGGTATGGTCCATTGTGATAGGAAAGACCTAGGTGAGGGTGTGAAGTAGCTGGTCACACTGAATCTGAAGTCAGGAAGCAGAGATAAATGAATGTTAGTACTCTGCTCTTTCTCTTTTTTTTTTTTTTTTTTTTTTTTTTTTCTGTATGGGACCACAGCCCAGGGGGTGTGTCATCAATATTCAGGGTGGCTCTTCCTTGATTTGGTTAAGTTTTCTGGAAACACTCTCTTTGATACTTCCAGATTTGAGTTTCTATGGAGATACTAAAGCCCATCAAGTTGATCATGAAGATTGTCCATCACACTAAGCATGGTGATGATGTGGTAATACATACTTAGCTGCAAATACTCACTTTGGGAGCTTATAGTCTAGGATGAGGCAATTGAACACATTCAGATAAGTCATTTGACCTTGAGCAGGGCTCTCCCCAGTATAAAGGTAATCAAAAGGAGCAGATGAAATTTCCATAAACTAATAAAATAATGCCAAAGAAAACACTCAGGAGGAAGATGGGTGGGGCTGCCAATTGACTTGAAGTAAAAGAACTTTCTGGAAAGAAGCTGAAGAAGGTATATTCTAAGGACATGGAACAAAACATTAAGAGATGTGGAAGTTTACATTTCTACCCTGGGGACTACTAAAGTCTCTAACAACTTTAACTCATTTCTGTATGAGCTATAGTGACCTCATGTCTTGTGGGTTCTTTGAAAAGTAACCTCACTATGATAATCACAAAGCAGGAATAGGAGTTCTGGAGTGTGGCTGGCACTCACTAACAGTGACAATCTCTGTGATCTCAGTTCTCACCGAAAAGTACATGAGATGTTTAATTCTTTGTTTGGATCCTGGTCTTCAGAACTTTCCATTTGCCTCAGAACCTCCTTTCAGAGCTTACAGGACAAAGAGCAAAGTCTACTATGTCCTCATTATCCAAGCACAGTGTCTCAAACCCATAATTATTGAAAGAGTGTCGCATGGGACTTTCTTTTTATTGAAAGCAGAATCTACTGCATACACTGACTTATCAGGCTATGGATCAAACTCATTCACCTTTCATATACAACGCCTAGAGAGGATTCCTAAGGGGATAAGTTTGACTTGTCAAACCAGTCTTGGCCATTGAAAAACACTCATATAAAGCTACCCATTCAGGTGCAATCTTTTCAATGAGCTATGAACACAGCTATCGCCAACAGTGGACAGATAACTTCCCTGAGCTATGAACACAGCTATCGCCAACAGTGGACAGATAACTTCCCTGAGCTATGAACACAGCTATCGCCAACAGTGGACAGATAACTTCCCTGACGAATCTTTCCCCCCATCTCCCTCTTTACCAGCACTCTACCAGGCAATTGCCTATGTGTATCCATAAAAAGAGACATTTTGTGAGCCATTCTCAAAATATTACCAGGCCAGCCTAGAGTGACATGTGTGTCATGTGCTAACCCCAGTTCAGAAGGTACATGGGCAGAAACAGAAGCACAAATGCCGTTTCACATGCCTCAGTTCAGTGAATCATAACAACGTAGGAAAAGAAAAAGGATGCCTTTCCTACACGCTGGATTATTTGACCTTGCAAACTTAATTATGCCTTAATAACACTAATTAGTGTCCTGGTAAGAAAAACACGGAAAAGAGCTTTTGCTCATGGTGACACCAGTTGCTGAGCAGAGTATAAAAGGGAACGCCAACCAGGAAACCTTCAGATCCTCAAAACTCTTCCTCAGAAACCCACCGCAAACCTCCACCTCTCACACCATGGTCAACTCCTGTTGTGGCTCCGTCTGCTCTGAGGAGGGCTGTGGCCAAGGCTGCTGCCAGCCCAGCTGCTGCCGCCCCAGCTGTTGCCGCCCCAGCTGCTGCGTGTCCAGCTGTTGCAGACCCAGCTGCTGCCAGTCTGTGTGCTGCCAGCCCACCTGCTGCCGCCCCAGCTGCTGTGTGTCCAGCTGCTGCAGGCCCAGCTGCTGCAGACCCAGCTGCTGCAGACCCAGCTGCTGCAGACCTCAGTGCTGCCAGTCTGTTTGCTGCCAGCCCACCTGCTGCCGCCCCAGCTGCTGCAGTCCTTGCTGCCGCCCCTGCTGCCGGCCCTGCTGCCGCCCCTGCTGCTGCCTGCGTCCAGTCTGTGGTCAGGTCTGCTGCCACAGCACCTGCTACCGCCCCACCTGCGTCATCTCCACCTGCCCCCGCCCCATGTGCTGTGCCACCCCTTGCTGCTGAGCCTCCTTGGCTGGATCCAGCATCTATTTCACCTCTGTCCCCATAGAATGAGTTTAATGTTGGTTTTGTTGAATCATGTCTCTGTATTTTATTGGACCCAACAACAGCTATTCTAGCTTCAATCCAAATCCCTCATGCGGACCTCGCCTTCCTATCTATGTGTGGACTTGCTCATACCTCACCAGCTGTGGAACTGACCTGACCAACCCTTCATAAAACCCTCTTAACTTCTAGGTTCAGGTCACAAAGTTCAAAGGTCCGCAGGTTGATTTCAAAATTTCTATCATGTTGATCTTTATAGCATCTGTGTTAATTGTTAATAAAGATACTCTACTTCTCCAGTTTTCCTGTGTTGTGTCACTGTGTCAAAATAAATGACCACTTTCCCATATAGAAAATCCAGTGTGATTTTGTAAGTCCCTAAGATTTCTTTTTTTTTATGTGCTTTTTTTTGTTTGTTTTATTTTTCTTCTTTTATTTTTTATTTTTATTTTACATATCGATCCCAGTTCTCTCTCCCTCTTTTCCTCCCTCCCTCTTTTCCTCCTTACCTCTTTCCCTCTCTCCCACCCTCTCATGCCCCCCAACCACCCTCCCCTCCCATCCACACCCCATTCCACATGTAGGGTAATGCCTTCCAGGAGGGGTCATCTAAATCTGTCAAGTCATTTGGAGTAGGGACTAGGCTTTCTCTCCTGTCTCTAGGTGAAAGGGAGTATCCCTCCTTTCTCTAGGTTAAGGAAATATCCCTCCATGGGGGATGTGCCCGCAAGGTCCTTTTGTGCATGAGGAATACATCCTGGTTCCACTCTCCGAGGTCCCTTAGACTGCCCAGGCCTTCTAGCTGAGACCCATGTTCAGGGGGTCTGAGTCAGTCCCATGCTGGATTCCCAGCTATCAGTCTGGGTGCCCGTTAGCTCCTCCTTGTTCAGGTCAGCTGTCTCTATGTGTTTCTGTAGCCTGGTTTTGTCCTCTCTCTCTGCATCTGGATTCCAGTTCAGCTCTGTGTTTAATTGTGGGTGTCTGTGACCGTTTCCATCAGCTACTAGATGAAGGCTCCATAACGGTGGATAAGTTAGTCGTCGATCTCATTATCAGGGAAGGGCATTTATGGTAGCCTTTCCACTGTTGCTCAACTTGTTAGTTGGAGTCAGTCTTGTAGGTCTGGTTCAGTTTTTTCTTAAAACCTATAATGGCTCCCTCTTTTATGGTCTCTCTCTCTCTCTCTCTCTCTCTCTCTCTCTCTCTCTCTCTCTCTCTCTCTTTCATCTATTCCTCCCCTGACTCAGTTTTCCTAGTCCCATGTGCTTTTCTCTCCTCCCTTTCTCTTTCTCCTAGGTCCCTTTCCACTCATTCACCTCCACTCCCCATATGCTCAGGAGATCTTGTCCCTTTCCCCTTCTGTGAGGCATCTTATATTAATCTCTTAGAATCCTCTTTGTATCCTAGTTTCTCTGGCAGTGTGAATTATAGACTGGTGATCCTTTGCTTTATGTCTAAAATCCATATATGAGTGAGTACATACCATGTTCCTCTTTTTGTGACTGAGTTACCTCATTCAGGATGGTTTTTCAAGTTCCATCCACTTGCCTGCGAATTTCAAGATTCCATTGACCCCCCCACCCCCGCAGAGTAGTATTCCATTGTGTAAATGTGCCACATCTTTTTTATTCATTCTTCAGTTTAGGGGCATCTAGGTTGCTTCCAGGTTCTTGCTATTACAAATAATGCTGCTATGAACATAGTTGAACACATGTCTTTGTTGCATGGACGTGGATCATTTGGGTATATGCCTAAGAGGGGGATTGCCGGGTACTGTGTGATTCACATTTTCCTAAGGAACCACCATACTGATCTCCAAAGTGAAGAGTGAAGAAGTGTTCCCCTTTCTTCACATCCTCTCCAGCATAAGTTGTCATTGGTGTTTCTAATTTTAGCCATTCTGGCAGGGGTAAGATGGTATCTCAGAGTTGTTTTGATTTGCATTTCCCTGATAGCTAAGGATGTTGAGCACTTTCTTAAGTGTCTTTCAGCCTTTTTGATTTCCTCTATTGAAAGTTCTCTATTCAGTTCTGTACCCCCATTTTTTATTAGGGTTATTTGGTGTTTCTTAATCCTGAAGAATTTGTGTTTTGGCCATACCTGTAGCATGAATGAAAAGGTTTTTTTTTTTTTGTTTTTTTTTGTTTTTTTTTTTTTTTTTGGTGGAAACAAAATTTAAACTACATTTGCCTTTTTTCATCAATAGTCTCCCTTATGGATATAAAACTTATGGATATAAATCAGAAATATCACTGTAAATCATGTTCTCTGGGTCAACATCTGTTGATATTCAAATATCTCACAGTAACTACCAGGGTAGTAGAGTCAGTGTCTGTAGCTAAGGGCAACTGATTTTTTTTAATGCAATTAGAGCTTAAAGTGCAAACTTAGAAATCAGAGGATAAATGTGAAAGATGAAGGTTTTATGTTAGCATGCAAGCAAATAGAGGAAAGATGAAGCTGTAGATAAATCTATGATATAAAACAACCAAGCTCCAGGCTATTTCTTCTCTCAGACTGTTCTTCCACACCAAGACAGTTTCCCTACCTAAGAAAGAAGACACTGAGATCTTAGGTCCCAAATGTCCCTGAGCCCTCTGGAGCAGAAATAGATCTTTTTGTTGTTGTTGGAGGACAGGTCATCTTTTGGTTTAAAGATAATGTGATGCCTAGCCTTGAAGCATAACACAAGATCCTTTCCCCCTCCTCTCAACCTCTGCTCTTTGCTACTCACCAGTAGCCCAGTCTCTTAACCTACCTGACAGTCAGTATCTCTGCAAACCTGTGTGCCCTTTCAGTTTGGCTTTTCAATTGTCCCAGACAAGAATTAAGCCTACCCCACTACTCTATCTGCTTCTCACTACTCTATCTCAACTATGAGTGGAGATCTTTTATTCTTATGTCCTCACTTCCTCTTCCTCTATTTACAAATTTTACATTTAAGCAAAGTTGTGTGTGTGTAACACAGTTTAAGATTTGTATATTATGTGTGTAAGTGTTTTGTCTGCATGTGTGTCCATGTATCACATGTGTCCCTGGTATGAATGGAGAACATCATCAGATCCATTGGAACTGTAGTTATCAATAGTTGTAAGCCCATGTGGGTGCTTGGGATCAAACTTGGTCCTCTTCCTCTGGATGAGCAACAAGTACTCTTGCCTTCTGAGTCAGCTCTCTAGCCCATATGTACTTTTATACTGGCAACATGGCTGTTTAGACTTACTATTGAATGTGATACATGTTTTCTACACTTGCTTTGCCACTGCTTAACAATATGTGTTTTATAGAAGCACACAGAGAGGCACCCTGTTCACTTTCAGGGCTTCACAGAAAAAGTCGCTGTCATTTATTTCTGTATCCCATAGAAGGATGCCCAGTCCATGTCTAGTTCTGTTTTGTTACTCTAGTCCTCCTTGTGAACAGAACTGATATAAACAATCTTGTAGAAATATCTTCATATTTTTTTCTGGGTTTACCTGAGGATACTTTATAGATTTGGAATAGCTATGAACAAGAATAATGCTGCTATTTATTGGCAAATCTTCACAAGAAAATCATGTGCACATTTATTTTCAGATTGCCAAATTTTGAGCTTTTGACAACCTAATAATGTATAAGTGATATCTCTAATTATTTTATGTTTTATTATGCATGAAAGGGCATATGTTACGAATAGTTTTCCCTCCGGCCTGGTGCCACAGCTATATCAGGCCCAAATAACACACAGAGACATTATATTAGATATAAAGCTGTTGGCCTGTTATAAGTGGTTCTTATTGGCTAGCTCTGTCTTAAATATTAACCCATTTCTATCATCTAAGTATTTCCATGTGGTCTTATCTTACTGGAGAGAAGGTCCGGAGTTCTGCTCTCTTGGTCCTACATTTTCAATCTTCTCCTACCTCTCCCCTCATCCTCCTTCTCTCCTAGTCCCACCTATCTTGCTTTCCCTATTGACCAGTAGGGCTTTATTCATTAACCAATAATAGAAACATTTACAGAATGACATCTCCCATCATCTCCTTTTTTCTGTCTAAAATAAAAAGAAGGGTTTTAACTTTAACATAGTAAAATATATAACAAAACAGTTATCAAATAAGAGCCATAGTTAACAATGTTCAATCCATTAACATTTAGCAAGATTTAAAAAAAAATATTCTATCATCTATCCTATTCTTTGTGAGTCTAAAGTCTTATATGTAATTTATCTTTAATCCTAACTAAGGAAAACTATAACCATAACTATCTGTCTTCAACTCCTTCAAAGACCACAGAAGGATAACATATAAACTCTAGAAATGACAGAGACAACTTGTCTGGTCAGTCATCCAAAGTTTTTCTGTAATGTTCCATCTTTAGCCTATAGGCCATAGTGTGTCTGGCAGACTCCTCAGCAAAGCAGGAAACTTTAAACTGTCCACCTGTATTGGCAGTTTGTCAGTCACATTTTTCTGTGTCCTGCAGACTGTCTGGCAGACTCTTCCATGAAGCAGGAACCCTATAGCACTGTCCATCTTGTTTTAGCAGTCACTTTTCTGTGGTTCCTACATGTCCAATTTATACAGCATTAAGTCAAACAGTCCATTTGGGCAGTATCTTGTCCAAATGGCTAGTCTTGCCATACTGAAAACAAATCCATAATGTGTTTCTTCAAAGTCTATCTTCCTTTCTGACACAGGTGGTGTTGCCAGGAGCAGTTATGTCTCACTGTTAAGAAAAACCCTAAACCATAAAATCCCTAAATGCCATATTCTGTAGGTCTTTGAAAGTTTTGAAGAATGCTTACCCATTTGAAATATAACTCTGTATATCTAGAAAACCTAACTAACTTAACTATAAGTTTTGACTATTATAGGTAACTATCTATAGTCTGTACTAAATTATACATTACATTTTAAAGTGAGCTATATAAACACAATACTTAAACAAGAGAAGAAATGTACATATCACAAAATTGACCTTTAACCCAGGCATTGGTAGCACACAACTTTAGTGCCAGCACTTGGAAGGCAGAGGCAGGCAGATCTCTGTGAGTTCAAGGCCAGCGTGGTCTACAGAGTGACTTCCAGGACAGTTTCCAAAGCCACAGAGAAACCCTGTCTAGAGAAGCAAAACAACACCAAAACAACAGACAAGTAAATCCTTAAAAACAAAATTAGCCTTTAATTGTACCAATAAATGAAAATAATCCAAAACAAAGTATTTATATCTATAACATAATTCCCTTTTTACCTTTAAAAGGATTGGTTGTGGTCATTTATAACCAATCCCATTTAAATGGAAAATAAACATTTATAAACAATATTTGGGAATTTGGGCATCATTCTTTCCAAACTGCTTCCTGTTGGTAGGGGGGACTGTCTTGGGGAATCCTAAGATGTAGAAGTCCTGGCTGTAGTAGTCTTTAATGCTGCCTTGTCCCAGCTGTTCTGAATGTTGGATCACCTGGGGCATTGCTCCTTGTCTCCTAGTCCCACCTATCTTACTTCCTATTGGCCAACAGTTCTTTATTCATTAACTAATAAGAGAAACATATTTACGGAATGGCATCTCCCATCAGGCATATGACTTATTCCCCTATCTGCAAGTATTTTCAAGGCCTCAAAGTTTTCACTTTTCTTCTCCCTGTCATGCATCTTTGTCTGAAACATCTTTTTCCCCCTTTAGCAGCTGATCTTTTTTCTAATCTATTTTTTAACCCTTAAATAATCAATTCCATTTAATAAGAGCTATCACATCCATCTCAAATATCAACAGGGTTATTATTATTATCATTATTATGTTATTTCTTGTCTCATCTTTTTTAAATTTTTCTCATACAAAATATTTCACCGATGTTTTCCCTCCCCCTTGTTCTCCTCCTCTGCTCCCTTCCCAGTAAACTTTGTGTAAAAAGAGGAAAACAAATATGAGAGTCAAAACAAACAATAAGGCCAAAAACAACAAAAGAAAATGGAACAAAAAGCCCACAAAAATGTAGCTCTTGTCTAATAATATCAGAAAATAACTATAAATGTGCTCCTTTCGACAGTTAGATGAATAACTAGCTTCTCTGTTTATCTGTTCTGTGCCTTATCAAATACTAAATCTGTTTATCTGTTCTGTGCCTTTTAAGGACATTTCAAGCCGTCCTGGAAAATGGGAGTCAAGCACAATTATAAACCACTTATCACAAACGTTCAGTGTCTGAAGTTGTGTCATGCTTTAATTAGTTAATTTTTAATATTTTTGCATTTTTATTAATTAAATCTGGTCTCTGACAATTTCATACATTCTGATTATTCTCAACCCCACCCTCTCCCTCATTTATGTCTTTTTGGCACACTGAGTTAAACCGGGCCTATCTGTGTGCTAATGAGTTTGGTGCTCACTGGAGACTCGTCTACTCAGCAGTAAGGAAATAAAGGCAATGACTACGACTCGCCTAGAATCTATCAGTAGACAATAGTTCAGCGAGAATGATTAGAGTCCTGCCATCGTCCATGACTGATTGCTCAAAAGGCCAGTCTTGTGCAGGATTGGAGGGGGTAAGAACAATGCTGTGAGTCCTTACTAGCAGGCTGTTGTTCCTTGCTTAGAGAATGGCGGTCCACAACCGTTCTCTCTCACCTTTCCAATCTTACATTCTCCTTACAATCTTCTAGTCCACATTTTGACGATGTCCCCTGAGCCTTACAGGATATGGTGTGAGAGTCTTTTTTAGAGCTGTGCATTCAGCTAGCATGTATTCTTGGCATTTGGAGCAGCTGTACATCTCTGCCTTCATTACTATTGGCTACAAAGAAAAGTTTCTCTGTTTAAGGCTGAGAGTACCACTTGTCTATAGATACATTTCTAGACAGTTTTCAACTGATACTATAATACCAAGCATGGATTCCTTCTCATTTATCTTGGAAGCTCTTTACATTCTCTCTCTCTCTCTCTCTTTCTCTCTCTCTCTCTTTCTCTCTCTCTCTCTCTCTTTCTCTATTTCTATTTTTATTCTGTTTGTGATGGCTTATCGTGCAGTATTTTTTAATTTTTTTGCTGTGTTTGTTCTTTCACAATTTTATAGATGTATAACATGTATCCTGATCACTAGTGTGTATTTTTTTTCATGCCAACACTATCAGGAAAGATTTGACTGCAAAAGTGTGTCTGTTCACATGCATGAAACAGAAGCATATGAAACTTCTCGCATGATGAGGCTCCTTGTATCTCTGCCTTTGTAACTAACTCCAGTTAACTTCATTGAGATGTCTATCAAACCAATGTTCTTCCTCCTTTCTATATTCATTCTTACAACCCTAGACATTCAACATTTTACCCCTTTCATGCAACCACCACCTCAGGGTTCTTCCTGCTTCCTGCCATTCTCACATCTCCAAATACTTAAGGCCTGGGTGTTGCTCGCACTTTTCTCCCCATGAACGATGACACGACATTCAATATAAATTCATGAAAATCCTTAAATTCTCTCCATCCTACTCACTGAGCACTGTCTTGAGCCCACCAAAAGCCCAAACATAGGCCTGTGTTCATCATCTGAATGTTTCTTCCTTTCTTCTCCACCCAAATAGATTATTTCTGTCATTGGTAAGTGCATTTGTTTTTAATACATAGTATATTCACTCAACTGATCTCTCACTTATGACTGGGTACCATGCTAATAAATGCAAGTGAGACATTTTCTTTAGACTAAAACCTTTTAGGCTATACACTGGAAAAGCAAAAAGAAAAGAAAAAAGTTCTGATATGATGTGATACCCTAGAATTGAAGCAATAGTGAAAGAAATGTTCAGTTGAGTGTAGTAGATATCAAGAGGTCAGAAGTGAGCTATGTTGGGTATTGAAGGATGAGTAAGAGTTTGCTAACTTGACAAGGAAGAAAACAACATTCTAGGCAAATAGAATATTCTAGGTATAAGAAATGACACCAGATTATCATTCTTCATACCCTATGAGAGACTGGCTGTGTCCTTTTAATCCTTTTGGGACCCCAGTCCCTTCATGTGTAAGGAATTAACAAGAATTTCACCCACTTCACAGAGTCCTTGAAAAATGTTAATAAGATAACAATTACAGAGGACACCAAACATTCCTAGCACACAGTAGGTATTCAACTAATTTTAACTAGCAAGATTATCACATCTTCATTGGGAATGGGGAGATTTAAATACCTAATTGTTATTTTATTGACTAGTCCAACAACTTTGTAAATAACTGACAAGCTCTTTACCATGGATATATCCTGTCCCCTTAATCATTTTTAAGATGCAAGTGAAACTTTATGTCTTTTTTGTTTGTTTGTTTGTTTGTTTTTGTTTTTGTTTTTGTTATGGAGCCTGTCCTGGAACTAGCTATGTAGACCAGGCTGGCCTCGAACTCACAGAGATTCACCTGCCTCTGCCTCCCAAGTGCTAGGATTAAAGGCATGTGCCATCAACGCCTGGCTGCCTTTATTTCTATCTTATCTCAAGCAAAACTTCTCCAATATACATTGTCAAGGAGAAGAATAACTCAGAATATGAAAAAGACATACCTTTTAAAAAATTTATCTATTCTTTGGGAATTTCATGCATATAGACAATATATTAAGATGACTGTATTGCACATACTCATTGGGTTTGTTGACTTAAAAAGGTTGACCAAAACATGCCCATAAGACATGCTACTCTGAAAAACCTAACACTAGTAATTTAACAATTTTTAAGGACTCGTCATGCCAACACGATTTTGCTATTCAAGAGTAATCATCATTACAAAATTTTTTCACCTTGGAGAGATTAAATAAAATGAAATTGATAGAACCTTCACTAAGTTTGCTCACATCTGACTGACCAGGTGGAAAATACAATATTCTTTGCTAATTGCAAGCTACCTCCTCCACACCCCCAAAATACCAATAGTCCATCCTATCTTCTCACCAGTATGCCATAAAGCCTGCTTCTAACATATTGCTCCCAGAGATGTAGGCACCACAATGTCTGTTCTGAACATATTACCTCAGGATAAGGCCACACATAAAGAATTAACACTTAACCCGAGGAGAAAAAGTCATGGACTGTGTTCAATTTGGGGGATATATCAAAGGAAGAAAAGGAAAGCTGATTCTCTTAGCATTGCCAAATTAAATAGTACGGAATGCAGCAGGAAAGGGAAGCAGCACCTTTCTATATATAAACACAACTAATTGACTAAAACTAACTGCTCTTCTGTAATACAAACAAGAGTCACATGGTTTGAAGCCCTCACCCAGGTATAAAAGCAAGAGACAGCAAGGGGAGAGACCAGATTAGGAACTCTAACCACCTTGTAAACCCGACCAGAACCTCCACCTCTCACACCATGGTCAACTCCTGTTGTGGCTCCATCTGCTCTGAGGAGGGCTGTGGCCAAGGCTGCTGCCAGCCCAGCTGCTGCAGACCCAGCTGCTGCGTGTCCAGCTGCTGCAGACCCAGCTGCTGCCAGTCTGTTTGCTGCCGCCCCTGCTGCCGCCCCAGCTGCTGTGTGTCCAGCTGCTGCAGACCCAGCTGTTGCAGACCCAGCTGCTGCCAGTCTGTGTGCTGCCGCCCCAGCTGCTGCATCTCCAGCTGCTGTCAACCCTCCTGTGGTGGTTCCAGCTGCTGCAGTCCTTGCTGCCGCCCCTGCTGCCGCCCCTGCTGCCGCCCCTGCTGCTGCCTGCGTCCAGTCTGTGGTCAGGTCTGTTGCCACAGCACCTGCTACCGCCCCACCTGCGTCATCTCCACCTGCCCCCGCCCCATGTGCTGTGCCACCCCTTGCTGCTGAATCTTGGCTTTGAATGCACCATTCATCTCCTCGTTCTCTACAGGGGATGTCTTCCCTTCTGGAAAACATGTAGTGTTCCAGGGACTTGGTTTCCGGAATCCCAGAAGTCAGTTGTTCCGTGTGCACATTCTGACTTCTGTTCCAAGTTCTTCCTCATAGAATGAATTTATCAAAAATCTCCCAGGAACTTAACAGGTCTCCCCCACGTGCCTCACCTTGTCTTTTTATCTGTTTATCATGCCAGAGGAATTTAAATTATTCCTGGCACTTGTAGGACCACAAATTTTAACCCTTCTGCCATTAAATGCCAATAAAGTATCTTTTGGAGTCTTTGCAAAAATGTTCATACTTTGCTATTTCTAATAAAAATAAACATCCACCACCTGGGTACTGAAAAGTGAATGTGATTGTTATTTTCTTTCTTTCTTTTTTAAAGTAAATGTGTAAATAAAAAATGGGGCAAGAGGAATGTTTCAGCAGATAAAGGCACTTAATTAACAAGTCTGACTATCAGAGTTCCAAACCTCACATTGTGGGAGGAGAGAACTGATTCCCACATGTTGTTCTCTGACTACATGTATGCTATGGCAACTGCACGCATGTGTGTGCATGCATGCACGCACGCACGCACGCGCGCACGCACACACACACACACACACACACACACGGGGGTAGGGACAGGGGAGGGAGGGAAGAGAGAGAGGGAGGGAGAGAGTGAATATTTAAAAATTACAAAAGAAGAGAGAAAGAAACCTTTACAAAGGCTTCCTGGGTAAATGTATTTTTTGTCTTCATTTAGTTAATCTTTGAGTTTGTATTTGAGTTACAATATTTCCCCCTCCAAATCCTTCCATATACCCCACCCACTCTCCTTCAAATCCACTCCTCTTTTTCATCAGTAGTAACTGTATGTGTTTATTCCAAGATCTGACTTGTTGAGCCCACTACAGAAAACAGTAACCCATCAATATACAGAGTTGTGGTGTCTAGTCCCAATAGATGCATCTATTAAACACTCGCTCACCTAAGGCTCAGGGAATGTTGTGGAAGAAAGGATGGAAATATTGTAAGAGCCAGGGGATCAGGAAGTTTACTGTGACAGTGTGTCTCCTGGAAGCATCAGAAGCTGCACCCACAAATCTCACCAACATGACTGCCTAAATGTGGATTGTATTTTCAGTACACTTAAAAGCAAACCACACAGGTTAGTCAAACTTCCAACAGAACTGAAATGGCATTAATCACTGCCTAGTTTTCTAAAGGAATTACAATGACAGAGCAGCTCTAAATATAAACAGGAGAGATCAGGGAAGACTAAACACAATTCACACTGCTTTTTAGTCTCTTTGGGAGACTACAAACAGCCAGTGGATGGCTTAGTCTTTATATCTTCTGCTCCAGCCAGGTGTGGTGAATCTTATCTCCACATGTGTGCTTCATGAGGGCTTCATGAGTCAATGGGCTTTCTTACCCCTGTATAGGGAACCACTTCTGAGGCAGACAGGATGTAAGTGAAGGCTGGGGGTAGTAAGTTTTCTCCAAGGCTGCCCTCCTTTTCCAGGGTGGCATGATAGAGAACCACATTCTTCTCCTCCATTTAGAGACTGTAAAGAATGCCTTTCCATTTTCTGAACTCCCCAGAAGACCAACTAAGCCTGCCCATGAGGTGGCCTTCCAGCTTGTTTTTCTTTTTTTTTCCCAGCATCCAATCCTACTTGACCCTTCCCTTCCATGATGGTTGATCCTCACAGCATGTCTCTGTGAAGCTCCAGCATGCTGCTTTCTGTCTCAGCATGAGCTTTCTGAAGATTTCCACCTGTATCCAAAACCCACTCATAACAGATGGCTTGAGATCTGGAACCATTCATTAAAATGAATGTTCAATCTTTTGGTGCCTGGTAGAAATAAGAATATAAGTAAATGAATGACAGAAACACATTGTACATAATCCATGATGAAAATTATAAAGTTTATATAGGAACCCTACCCTTCTCTCTCTCTCACACACACAGTCTTTAAAATTTAAAACAACACACACACACAAAAAAAAAAGTCTGTGACCAAAAGTAATGCTGTGACCATGAGTCATTGCTAATCTCATTCAAGAGCCATTGGCATGCATTACAAACTTATTAAACACATTCATATACACAGTGAATAGACAGCATTTACTCATACACCTAGCTTTTGTTGTACATTACTTATGTTGTCATTTATGTAAATATTATTTTATATACTTCAGGAAATGTTGGTACTTACTCCCATCCAGACTGAGTGTGTGGGTAGGCATGTTTATTTGCATTTTTTTAATATTTATAGTAAGAATGATGAGTATATTCTATGAAGTAAGATATCAATCTGCTTTCACAAATTCATATTATACTAACTTCGTGGTTAATACTAATACCCAGTTGGTCCTCTAAGATATTCTGAGGAGACTATCTTGGCAGCCGAATGCATCTAGGCTTAGACACTTCCCAAGATCTGCACCCTGTAGCCTATGATATGACCCCATCATTAACACAAATGTTTTAGACTTTTTTCTCATCTTCTGTTCATTTTCCCCAATTCCTCTCTTGTATCTTCTGGGGTGGAGTCTTCGTCTAGGATTCCATAGGATGTAAAACTCAAGCAAAGTCAGGGGATGCTCAGAAGTACTTATGGCTAATAGTTTTCTTAGCAGTAAGACTAAAACTGGGAAGTCTAAGGGCAAAAAACAACCAGTGTTACTGTTTGGTAGTGCCTTTGTCCTACCCTCAACCAATGCCTATAAACATGTGAGTTAAGCACGGTAGTAATAGAAATCTAAAAACATATCTCCCTGTGCAAATCAAATTTTCTGATACTTCCTACTAGCCTTTTTCTTTTTTTCTTTCTTTTTTTTTTTTTTTTTTGGTGGCATGTCACCACAAATGCTGCCTCATAAACAATATGAACATTTGACCAAAAAATGGATTAGATAAATACAGTTTTCTTAAAGAGGATTGTGATCCACTTTGGGATTGTTTCCATGTATATATATATATGTGTGTGTGTGTGTGTGTGTGTGTGTGTGTGTGTGTGTGTGTATATATATATATATATATATATATATATATATATATATATATATCTGCGTGTCTACACTTCCATCCACCCAGCAAACCTCTATCATAATCTATCATAAAGTAGAATGTGCTGAGTTAGAAGCACAGTGCAGGGTCTTCATGACATCTGAAGAGGGTCCTTTATGAGGACAGACACCGTGCAGGAGGAAACATCTCTGGTGAGCCTTGACGGATGAAGAAGGGTTTGCAGAGCTGACCAGAAGCATTCCAAGAAGATGAAACAAGACCGGCAAAGGCTTGCAAGCTTGAGTCTTCACACTTCCTTTGCTACTCAGAGGCACGTTCAGCTCACTGTGTTTCCTCTTGGACACACATTTTAGTTTTAGCCTCTCTCTGCTTCCTTAAGCTCTTCCATTAAAAGAAGAGGGCACAGAACCTCATAGAACTGCATTAAAAACAAAAGAAACACAACACAATTCACACAATGCTTGATACACAGCGACATTTTACAGACTATATTTCTGCCGAGGACACATGGACCACCTTCGCATACTGCACACTTTGATTTTAGATGTTTCATTAAACTCACTGGAATTCTTTATTTTGTGCCAAGTGTTTCCCTCTGTCTGTGTCTTATCCAGCCACTTACAGAAAGGCATGAGGATATACCTGCTGTATGCCTAGAATATCCCAGACAAAACTCTTGCATATATATTGACAAAGTTAGAAACTCAAAATGTTGTTTACATATTTAATAAAAAAATTCAGACCATCAAGGTGACTCAGCAGGTGCTGCCACGCTCAGTGGCTGGAGTTCCATCCCTGGGACCTACATGGTGAGTATACCCATACACACAAACACCCTAAGTAATAAATAAATGTAGTAAAATACTAATGAAGTATAGTACCCTACTCTGTATATATTTTGGATGCCTCTGTGAGTGAAAAATATACTGTGCAGGTTCCCAATTAAAAGATGAATAAAATTTCCTTAGGCATAATCATTTTCCAGGAAGACATACAGGAAAAGAAGAAAAAGAAAATGAGTTTCTATGATTTCTAAGTGGTTGAACAACTACAAGTCCTTCAGGTTAAGAGGTTGGAATGAGACCTGACAATTCAGAACTTTCTCAGGTCTGACCATCTCCCCAATCCTCCAGCAGACACACAAGATCACCCTCACCCCCATGGGAGATGGGACAGCCTCCCTCTAAATGGTCTTTCTTTCTAATTCCTTCCCTTAATCTCACCCGGATAGAACATTCCCTGACAGTGAAAGACATACTAGAATTTGTGGGGGAAAAAATGTCCAGAATTTGCAAGAAACAGTGGACACACAGGAGGGATTTTCACATTTAGAAAACAAAATGCCAAAGAGTCACATGACAAGTTACTTGCAAAAAAGGAAAAAAGCGATCCATTATGGAAAAAATGCAATGAGTGTTCCAGTTGCAAATATGGGAGCCAACCGGAAAATAAAATGCCTTGTTTTCTTTCTTTTGGAGTATTTAACCAGAAACATTACAATTATGCAATTAAATGATTAAGTTTCCCAAGAAGGAAAATACTAACAAGGAAATAATGACGTGGTCATATAAGGTATTCAATGGGGTATAAATAGGTGTGTGGGGGAGACTTTCAAACCCAATACCTTCACTCTCTTGTAAACCCACCCAGAACCTCCACCTCTCACACCATGGTCAACTCCTGTTGTGGCTCCATCTGCTCTGAGGAGGGCTGTGGCCAAGGCTGCTGCCAGCCCAGCTGCTGCCGCCCCAGCTGTTGCCGCCCCAGCTGCTGTGTGTCCAGCTGCTGCAGGCCCAGCTGCTGCAGACCCAGCTGTTGCAGACCCAGCTGCTGCCAGTCTGTGTGCTACCGCCCCTGCTGCCGCCCCAGCTGCTGCATCTCCAGCTGCTGTCAACCCTCCTGTGGTGGTTCCAGCTGCTGCAGTCCTTGCTGCCGCCCCTGCTGCCGCCCCTGCTGCTGCCTGCGTCCAGTCTGTGGTCAGGTCTGCTGCCACAGCACCTGCTACCGCCCCACCTGCGTCATCTCCACCTGCCCCCGCCCCATGTGCTGTGCCACCCCTTGCTGCTGAGATCCCTGCTCTAGGCTCATTTCCCCCTTGCAGATATATGTCATTCTTCCATGTGAACCCTTAGCACACAAGGAATCTGTTTAACATCATTTAGCAGGATGGTCTGCACAATTCCCGTGGCCCCTCCATCCTCCCCAGGATGAGGCAGAATATCCTGGCTCACTTTACATTCTCTCCTTTTGCTACCATTTCTTTCTAATGTTAGTACAATGTAGAAATTAATTTGAACTTCATGGGCCAAAAAAATTAATCCCAGTTCTCCAAATTGATTAACTTTGTGGCTCTAAATTGTTATTCCCAGTTATTCTACAACCCCAGTCTTAACATTGACTCTCCAACCATAGCACTGAGGGCTTAGGTATATTCTGTAATTTTTTTTTTCTAAAATGAACTTCTTATGTCCTATTGTTTCTCTTCTTTCTAATAAACTTTCTACATGTAAGAATTCATTGGTCCTGTCCTTTGTGTCTTCCATACCATTGTACTAAATAATTGGGGACTTAGGTCTGGCTGCTTAAGAGCAATTTCTGCTATTGCAGAGTACCTGAGATTAGTTCCCAGCATCCATGTTAATCACCTGCAACTCCAGCTCTGCCCATCTTTGGCCTCTGCAAGCTACCCCAATTAAAGTAATTTTTTCCATTTAAAAGAGTTGCTGTGGTCATAGGGTCTCTTCACAGCAATAAAAAAAAAGTCTATATGTGTGGTTCTTAGTATTCAAATTTAGGAAATTTTTAATTTACATCATTGTTCTTAATTAAAATACTTATACCCTTGGTACATTATATCTTTTAAGCCATCAGCTCTATTTTGTAGAAGAATGTAAAATGGAATTTTTGAGGGGAAAAAAGTACATGCCAATGAAATACAAAAAAAAAAATCTTCTTTTAAGAGTTTAGTAATGCAGTGTGGTGGTGAATGACTGTAATTCCAGTATGCAAAGAAGCTGAGGCAGAAGACTCATAATAAGTTTAAGGCAACTGGGCTACATAATGAGTATTAGGTCAGCCATCACTACACAGCAAGGCCATGTCTCAACTAAGTAACTGATTAATTAATGTAAAAATAATATCCTCAATGTTTTCCATTTAACAAAGCAACATTTCAGAATAAACCACAAAGTAAGTTGCACTACTCATTGAGTTCTGCTATGAAGAGAGTCACATTTTGTTGTATTATTATGGTCACATGACTCACCTGGATAGTCAGCAATGTTTTATTTAGAATGTGGTCCCTAGGGTCTTTGCAACTCAAGCATCTTCACTCTTAGTATATTCTAACAGACACACACCCTGAAGGCTGGAATTCCCAAGTTCATTTCCTCTTTTTGAGGAGTTTAAAAACTTGGTCATAGCCATGTGTGGTGGTACACAGCTATCCAACCAGGCCCTGTTCTAATAGCTCTTTAAGCCTGAAGCTCACCAATGAGTTAGTCCAGTGTGGTTGTTTGAAAATGGCGGTCTCCATAGGCTCAGAGGAGTGGCACTATAAGGAAGTGTGGTCTTGTTGGGGGAAGTGTGTCACTGGAGTTGGGCTTTGAGGTTTTAGAAGCTCAAGCCAGGCCCAGTGTCATTCTTTTCCTGATGCCTGCTGATCCAGATGTAGAACTCCCAGTTTCTTCTCCAGTACCATGTCTGCCTGCATGTTGCCATGCCTCCTACCATGATGATAATGGGCTAAACCTCTAAACTGTAAGCCAGCCCCAATTAAATATTTTTCTTTCTAAGAGCTGCTGTGGTTATGGTGACTCTTCACAGCAACAGAAACCATAACTAATACAGCCTGTGATGCAGTTACCCTTCTCATGGCCCAATTACCCTTTAATATCATCTTAGCTAGGGACTACCTTATGGGCCTTTTAAAGGTAGCAGTCTTTTTCACACATGGGCCTTTGAGGGACAGACATACAAACCATTTGTCAGCTAGGTACTTGACAAACATCATTTCCACCATGCTGTTGGTCACAGAAAATCATTAAACCACAGAAGATGAGACCCCTCTGGCCAACTGGCACTCAGGCAGACTAAATTTGTGGTAAGCTGGCACCAGCCCTTTGAGTCCTTTCCTTGCTGTCTTGCTTATTTGAGTAAGTCACAGCAACCCTTCATGTGGGCTCCTCACTTATATGAGTTATGATCAGAAAATTGTGGCCACAGCTGTTTGTAGGGGAGAGATCACAGGTATCAAATGCTTTTTGTATTTAAGAGAAATAAGATGGGAGAAATGAGAGCTCCAGATTGCCCAGGGATTTGAACACCAAGACCAGCTGCTCATGGGAGGTGGAAACTTCTTGTCAGTTAGAATCTGACACTGAGATAATCATGAGTAAACAAAAAAAAAAAAAATACGATATCTTCTCTGCTTCCTTGATCCATGAATAATGATTTGAAATTTTGTAAGAGAAACTGAAATAAGTCTGGAAGTTAAAGGTTTTAAGCACAGCTGGCACGCTGACAAGGACAGAAACCCCAGAATATCCATTTGACTGACATCTAGTGAAACCAGACAAATGACTCCCTCCAAAGCAGACTCCATCTGCTGCTGTGGGTTAGTGGTGGTTCATTTACTCTCAAAGAGATTTCTCTAAGGACTGTCCAAGCCACAGACTTGGGAACCACCAGTTTCATTGCCACCTATATGATCTGTGTGATGGGGGTTGTCCTTCTGTATACAGGTTTCTCTTATAGGTTGATGAATAAAACGCTGTGGCAAATAGAGGCAAGGACATAGGTGGGACTAGGAGAAGAGGGGAATTCTGGGAAAAGTAGGCCAGAAAGAGTCACCATGCTGCCAAAGGAGTTAACAACATGCCAGGCATTATCAGGTAAGCCACAGCCTTGTGGCAATACATAGATTGATAGAAATGGATTAATAATTAAGACAGAGCTGGCCAATAAAAAGCTCTAGCCACTAAACAGCTGTTAATATAAGTCTCTGTGTGTTCATTTTGGGGTTCAAGGGTGGTGGGACCTGCAGGGCCAAGAACCTGTCATAACATCTGTGTGGCTTTATGTGGGTAAGACAGTGAAGTCATGTCCACCACTTTAACGCCGAACACACTACCCAGAGGGAGTATACTACAATTTGGACATAACTGAGATCAGCAATTAGTTGGTTAATAAAAGTAACTCAATAAGGACAGCTCTACAGCCAAGGAATATGAAACTCGTACAGTGATTAAAAGCCTCCAGACTATTAAATCATGATGAATAATGACACCTTGGAAAACAAGGGTATCAATAATGGGGTTGTGTTTTGATGACCTTCAGAGAGAACCTTCTGGTCTTGGTCCTTGCCCAGAAGTTAGCTATTTCTGTGGCCCAGAAGTTAGCTATTTCTGTGGTCAAAAGTTTCCCCACTCCACTGATGAGATCACTTAGCAATCCTACATATACATAAAAGGAAAATTCCTACTTACTTTGATAAAATCTCAGTTTACAGAACAGTAAAGATCTCAGGGCAGAGACTATTTCATCAGTAAAGAGTAAGGGGACTCGGGGCTCAGACCTCACACTACAACTTCACTGTGTGACCTCAGTAAACCCTACAACTGTAAATGAGGGAAGGGACTGACCTATAGATGCTCCACGGTCCTTTCCTGGATTCTACTGATGCAATGACTAATCCTAAATAAATCCCAAAGATAAAAATCACAAGGAATCTTTATTTATGATCAAGATGGAAGTTGAGTTCAGGTTCTAAGGACAAGCAGGGCATTCCAGGTCAAGAAGAAAACAACAGCCAGGACAGGAAAGCCCTGATCCTCAGCAAGAGAGAGTGATCAAACCAGTGAGACAGGCTGAAAATGCCATTGTGGGCCTTCATCTTCACATGTAAAACCACATGCCTGACAGAGGTATATGCTAGGAGTTCTCTGGGAAGCAGGCAAGGATTGGTATGTTTACAGTGGCACTATTAATCCACTGCTGTCATGTGTGTATTAGAGAGCAAGTCACTGCTTGGATGGCAACCTGGAGAGTCTTTGAAGACAAAATGATGTCAGAGCCAGGAGAGAGTGGTTAGACCATATCTGGATTAGACACAAATTCTTTCCTCCTTGATGACTTAGAAACATTCCAATCTCATAATTGAATCCAGAGTTTAGATTTAGTAAGAATAAACCACAAAAGAAATGAAGAAATATTTGTGATATATATGCATGATATGTATGGAGGGGGAGAAATACCATTAGTCAACACTAACTCTTCTCTTAATTGGCCAGAGGATTTACAAGAATGATCTTGTGCCTGGCAGTCATCAGCACTGGCCAGGTATATAAAGGGACCCGGCCCAGAGGGGACATCACACCCGAGAACACACAACTGCTCTCTACTCCTCAGCCCCACTCCAGCCCAGACAACACCATGACCGGCTCCTGCTGTGGATCCTTCTCCTCCCAGAGCTGTGGAGGCTGCTGCCAGCCCTGCTGCTGCAGAGACCCCTGCTGCTGCCGCCCAGTGTCCTGCCAGACCACAGTGTGCCGCCCTGTGACCTGTGTGCCACACTGCACTAGGCCCATCTGCGAGCCCTGCCGCCGCCCCATCTGCTGTGACCCCTGCAGCCTGCAGCAGGGCTGCTGTCGCCCCATCACCTGCTGCCCCACCTCCTGCACAGCTGTGGTCTGCAGACCCTGCTGCTGGGCCTCCACCTGCTGCCAGCCCATCTCTGTGCAGGCTCCCTGCTGCAGGCCCCCCTGCTGCCAGCCTGCTCCCTGCCGCACCACCTGCAGGACCTCCCCCTGCAACACCTGCTGCTGAGCTCCTGGCATCCTCACCAAGGATGTCCCATCACCTACACACCTATTTGGGCTTTTAATCACATTGACAGAAAGTACTTTTCCCCAAAGGTGACAACAATTTAACATTCTGCAACCTGAATACAATGCGAAATAAGGACATTGTCATTCCTGTCCTATGCCAAGTTGGCAGACATCTGTATCGGCAGGCATTTCCATGGATGATAAATCCCCTTCAGAGGTACCCAGGATGGACTGGACAAGCCCATCTCAAGCCCTTATGATCCAAGCAATTCAAATCCCCACTAATGTCCTTGCCATGTGTTGCTCACTGTTTCAATAAAATGATTTTTCTGGCATTTCAATTGCCACACTCCTGATTCATTCATTGGTATATGCTATTAGAGTATACAGATGAGCAGGAATCTAGACTCTGCACAAGGAAACCAAAGCTCTGTCATTTCTCTCAAACATTCTTTCCTCTCCTTTTGTGTACTTACCTCTGCTCCATTTCTAAGAATCATCTCAGTCTCTTCAGCCGATGTGTCTTAAACCTCAAACCACCAAAAACGCACATGCTCATGTGCACATCCACTGGCATGAAACCAGGCGGCAGTAGGTACACCGTGGTATTTCTGAAGCATCCTGAGTTACCTCACTGCCCATAAAGCACTGCACTGAGATGATCTAGTGTCTGCCTTTGAGATGGCCGATAGGCCTTGGTTGCACAGACAGAGCTCGGTGTTTGGTACAATGGCTGGTGCTTGATTTCCTCTTAACTCCTCTAACTTTTTGTTTGCTTCATGCTGCTGTGTGATAAACACTATGGCCAAAAGCAACTCGGACAAGAGTTGCTTCATTTTACAGGTTACAGTCACCGTCAAGAGGGGCCAGGGCAGATGCTCCAGGCATGAGCTGAAGCAGGGGAGCACAAGGAGGAGCACTACTTACCGGCTGGCTCCTTCTGGCTTCCACAGCTACTTCCCGCGTCCAGGCTCACCTACCTAGGGATGACACTGTAGAATGGGACATTTAGTAATTCTCAACAAAGATCTCTGGAAAAGGTGAATGACTTCTACAGACCACACATTCAGTGCCCAGTGTCACTATTTGTACTAGTTATATTGTGTCTTAAAACAACAACAAACAAACAAAACAAAAACATGCTTACTGGTTCAAAGCAAATCACTGAGGGTCAGAGAGAATTCAGGGGAAGATCTTACTCACTTGTTTCAATATTTTTTTTTCTGAAATACTTTACACCCACTGGCAGAAATGCATTTTCTAATTAGTCTCAATATACCTTGGTATCAGATTAATATGAACTTAGAATGAAAAGGAATCTTTAAAATGTATTATAATCTTTAATTTATATTTATTTTACATACTGACCACAATTTCTCCTTCCACCTTTTCTCCCATTCCCCCCCCACATCCCATCTGGCCCCTCCCCATCCAATCCTCCTGCTTAAGGGGCAGGTCTCCCATGGGTATAATCAAAGCATGACATATCAAGTTGTGGTAAGACTAAACACCTTCCCTTGTATTAACTCAGGGCAAGGCAATCCAATATGAAGAATAGATTCCCAAGACACAGCAAAAGGGTTAGGGACAGCTCCTGATCCCACTGTTAGGAGTCCCACAAATAGGTCTAGCTACACAACTGTCACATATATGTAGAGGACCTAGGTCAGTCCCATGCAGGCTCCCTGTTTCGACTCTGAGTTGTTTCTGTGGGTTTTCTTGTGATGTCCTTGACCCCTCTGGCTCCTACAATCTTTCCTCCCTCTCTTCAGCAGGGTTCCCTGAGTTCACCTAATGTTTGGCTGTGGGTCTTCTCTACATCTCTTTCCATCAGTTACTGTATAAAGGCTCCCTGATAACAATTGGGATAGTCACCAATCTGATCCCTGGAGATAGCAAGTTCAGGGCAACAAATCTGCTATTGATCTGAGTCTTAGTTTTAAAACCAATAGACATGAGCTCTAGACTCTAGAACTTCTGAGAAGAGTTGAATAAACAGAGGGAAAAAAACCACAGTAGAGTAATATGTGTATCTGAAAGTCTTTTATACTTACCCATTCAAGGGAACTTAGATCTAAAAGCAGAAAGAGATACCAAGATAGTAGCTTAATCTTCCTGACTTTAGGCAGATGAATATTTAAACTTAAGAGATATTAGATAAATATATGATAGACTGATATATATATATATATATATATATATATATATATATATATATATATTCTTTAGTTACTGAAATAAATCCAAAATTTCCATCAAAGCCCTGACCATTGCTTTTCCGTATTTTTCAATTTGACTATTTTTCTCTTTTTGGTTAATTATATGCATCTCTTTCTCTGTTTGCATGGGTGTTATAATAAAGTGGTCCATGAAGAGCTCCAGATACTGAAGACTTCATTTCACAGATGAGGAAACTGGAACTATGGAGATGTCATCTGCCCTGAGATAAGGCTTCCCTTTTCCCTCAGCCCACCTCATCCTTATTTATGACCTCTATGATTGGAGTGTAACTTTAAGATTGCTACTAAGAAAGGAGTCCCTATGCAAAACATATTTTTTTCAGAATTTTAGACATCTCCTGATATCTAGAAACCACCAAACTAGTTTATCATAAAACTATCAAGATTAGGACATGGCCTACGGGACCAACAGTCACTGTTACTACATTCTTTTCCAATCCAATCACAAAAATCTCACAATTAATTATCATTATGTTTAAAATGCACATGTTCCCATTGGTGATTATGCTCTTGCAGAATGCTTGGAATTGGAACAATGTGGCTTTAAAAGATCATGTCATAAAGTTGGGAACAGCCCCTTTCAACAAGCCTGCCTCTGAATGTGTGTCAGCAAGAGCACCCACCCAGCAGAACAGCAAAGAGACAGGGGAGGGCATCAAAGGATCTTATTGGTGTTGGCATTCTGGTAACACTGCAGGAAATGGCATCTAGATAAGCTAAACAGGACTGATTACAAAAGAACAGTCTTTGGCATGGGCTGTCAAACAGATGTAAGACCCCTCTGCCACAGGAAATGGCATAATGGTCACTTTATATCCCTTACCTGAAATTGGGATATTTTATTAGTTACTTCTTGCTGTTACAACATTTCTGACTATGGCAATTTGAGGAAAGAAGGGTTTATTTTGGTGCACAATTCCAGGTGATAGTTCATCATTGTGGGGAAGTCAAGGTGACAGAAAGTTGAAGCCACTGGTCATACTACATCCATAGTCAAGAGCAGTAATGAGTTAGCACAAGCAGGGTGGGGCTCAGCTCTGTTCTTCTCATTCACTCCAGGGTTCAGTCCATGAAATGGTGCTACTCACATCCCAGGTCTGTCTTCCCATCTCAGTCAACCCAATAGAAAAAAAAAAACAGCCTGTAGGCATAGCCACAGGCTGACCTAATCTAAACAACCCCTCATTGAGCCTCCCTTCCCAGTTGACTCTATAGTGTCACTAGATGACAATCAAAACTAGCAACCACACACACTCAGACAAAAATTTGACCCCAAAATCCTCAGCAATCCTTGTCCAGTGCCATTATTCACCTTCTCCCTTACCCTTCCTTTATTTCTATGCCCCCTAGTTATTGTGGGGAAGCACAAAGTCCTTTATCTACTCACTGGTTCTCTATCTATTTTGTAATAATCCCATCTCATATTTTATAAGCAATCTAAATTCTCAGCCAACAAACTACAGTATTGACCACAGAAAGATGATTGATTCCTTCACACACATTTCACTGGATTCTGTTTAATTTTTGTGTGTATGTGCAAGTACACACTCATGTCTGTGGGAAGAGGTGTGTTCTGGTGTAAGGGTGGAGGTCAGAGGATAACTTGTGGGCATCTGTTTTCTCTTCCCATCATGTGGGTTTTGGGGTATTGAACTCCAGCTGCCAGGCTTGGTGGCAGGAGTATTTGCCCAGACAGCCATCTCACCAGCCCTACAAAGGATTTTAAAGAATTTAACATGCAGTGTTTATCTTATACTTAGAAAGCAGAAATATAGCAATCATAAAAGAGATTCAAAAGACAGAAATGAATTAATCACTTGGCTTAATCTGATTGACCTTTGAGAAGATCTTTATCTTTAATTGCTTACAAAGTGTGTCTATAAAATGTGATTTAAAAAATGTCAGGGCTCAGTTTTCTCTCTCCATCCCCCTAATTGCCCGGTTCACACAGTGTCTCATGATATGGTGTGAATTACAGAACAATTCAGGTTCCTTTCTTTAAAGCCACTCTGATGCTCTGGTAATTATCTCTCCAAAAGCAAGGCAATTAGCTTTTTTTTTTTTTTTTTGGACGCCTTAGGCCATACTTTCCACAATAAAATAGACACCAATCTACTTTTATGAACCAGGTTGGCTCTTCAGGAATTGTTACTTTGTCTGAATGTCAATCAGAAGCCAGGCTTATGACTCATGTGCATCATAGCCTCATACCTTCTCAAAGACTATGAACAAGGGGAAAGTGACATCAGTAGTGTGCCCTTCAGACTTTCAGTTTGTCACATGGCCTAGCCCAGAAGGATTAAATGACAGGTAAGCAATAGTTCTGATGATACAAACTATCAGGTATTCATTCCAAGGGAAATAGTAGAAGGGTGGAAAGAAAAGCATCCTTGCAGATACTGGAATTGTTGCCTGGCAACTGAATCCAGGGTTCTCTTTTCATTGGGTAACCATGAGTCCAGGAAGTAGCTTTATGTCTCAGCACTGGCCAGGTATATAAAGGGAGCCAAACCCAGAGGGGACATCACACCTGAGAACACACAACTGCTCTCTACTCCTCAGCCCCACTCCAGCCCAGACAACACCATGACCGGCTCCTGCTGTGGATCCTTCTCCTCCCAGAGCTGTGGAGGCTGCTGCCAGCCCTGCTGCTGCAGAGACCCCTGCTGCTGCCGCCCAGTGTCCTGCCAGACCACAGTGTGCCGCCCTGTGACCTGTGTGCCACACTGCACTAGGCCCATCTGTGAGCCCTGCCGCCGCCCCATCTGCTGTGACCCCTGCAGCCTGCAGCAGGGCTGCTGTCGCCCCATCACCTGCTGCCCCACCTCCTGCACAGCTGTGGTCTGCAGACCCTGCTGCTGGGCCTCCACCTGCTGCCAGCCCATCTCTGTGCAGGCTCCCTGCTGCAGGCCCCCCTGCTGCCAGCCTGCTCCCTGCCGCACCACCTGCAGGACCTCCCCCTGCAACACCTGCTGCTGAGCCATCTAATGTATGACTTTGTCAATGAACAGAACTCTTCCTACTCCTGCTGGAGCAGATGAGAGGTGCCATCTTTGCAACCCACCTGTTCTTCCACAATTCACTCAACTGCAAAGGCCTATCCAACTTCCCACATATATGCAGCTGGTCATCTGCATACCTCTAGACACATCCTAGCTCTCATCAGCGGAATTCTTGGGTTCAAAAACATGTGTAAACGAAGATGAAGTTCTTTAATGAAGCTTGATCCCATTGAGTCGCTGCAACTTTTCTATTTCAGGATTCAGATGGAGTATATTTTAGTCATGATAATTTTAGCCTGTGGTTTAGCATGATAAAAAATAAAATTTTATTTCTGATGAAGCACATATGCTTTCTGTGTTCTTTCTTGATAGTCACAACCTCATTTACAGAATAACTTATAGTGTTCAGAAAGAGAAGAGTCAAGGGAAAATGTTTCTAAGGGATATATTTTGAACCACCCCCCTCAGAGCATTTGAGGTGCAGCATCTATAATTGTCAAAAGAATTCAAATAGCTCAGACAATTTTGCTGATGGGCTCTCATGTTTAAAGACACAGACTTTTGTGATGATGGGACAGAAAATTTGAGGCAGATCTTAGATTGTGATTATGACTCATGAGTGATCCATACACAGGAGAAAAAGAAGAAAACCCAGGTTGTATCCCCCTTACTTCCCAACATAGAAAACTATGCAATGATCGGGTTAGCTAAGAGTATCCAGGAACACTCTCACCACTGAATTCCTTTGTATTCACTGGATCAGCCACTCTCTCATTCCCCGAAAGCAGTACCACCATGGCAGTAAGGTTTCCAATGTGGCTGATGATGAAAAGGCCAAATACAGCCTTGTTTAGAATCTGACATATGGTGTCCTTAAAACAGTGTCACTGTGGTTGATGTGATGTATTACATTAACCCTTGTGCCATGGCTTTATTACCCCTAGATACTTGTTAGGACAGTTAGGAAGACTAAGTAATATTTGTTTGTTTTGCTTTGCCTTGCTTTATTTATTGCTTTTGTTTCCTTGAATAAAGCCTTCTACCACAGAAGTCATTATGAAGAAAGGACAGACAAATTACAAAACAAGGGCTAAAAATAGTGCTATAAACTTGAGTCCCCAGAATTGAACCTAAATGGGTCTTTTGAATGTGCTGCCTGTACACTTAGCTATATGTACTGATTGATGAGAGAGGGCAAACACGGGAGCTTAGTGAGGAGAGGGACTGGACTTGTTTTGCTTAAGATTGGGTTCTGATCCAACATTTGGCACATAGAACAGAATGATATTGAAAATAATAAACTCTAAATGGGGGAGGAAAGAAGACATCATCTTCCCAGCCTCGCTCCCCTCAGTTTTGATATATGCACTCATATAACACTGAGATGCTTCATGACGTCTCTCTCCACAGGAAGTCATGTGTACAGGATGTTCTGTATCTAGGAAATTCCAGGGACTGTTTGATAGAGGTCCACCTGTAGTATGAGTACAATGGAGTTTTCTCATTATTAGATTGTCTGCCATCAGACCTTGGGATTACAAATCCCATTTTTCTTTCCTTTTCTTTCTTCCTCCTTTCTTTTCTTTTCTTTTCCTTTCCTTTTCTTTCCTTTCCTTTCTTTTTTTTTTTTTTTTTTGTTTGTTTGTTTGTTTTGAGATAGGGTTTCTCAGTGTAGGGTTGGCTGTCCTGGAACTCACTCTGTAGACCAGGCTGGCTTGGAACTCACAGAGATCTGTCTCTGCCTCCCGAGTGCTGGGGTTAAAGGTAAGTGTGTTCCAGAAACATTTTTTTTTAATCTTACTGAATTCTCTCAGGTAAATAACGTCTTGGTTTCTTCAAAACATGTTATTGTTATTGGTGCTTGTTTGTCTCCATGGTAACCCTACACCCTGGTCAGTTATAGTGACTGCTATAGTGCTGGGTAACCCTTATAAAGAACTATGGAAGCCACATGACCAAGGAAGAGGAGTGAACCAGAGCCTTCAACCACAGATGTAAAATAGACATCATTGTAGAGAAACGGCAGACTCAAGAGCTATAAAATAGTGATGCTGTTTTTCTCTACAAGGCCAGATAGATAGCTTCAAGCCATTGAAGAATCACGGTTGATTGTGTTTCTGGGAATGAACTTCGTGAAGCCTAACACACAGGGAGGTATTGGTGACACTAGATATAGACAAGATGGGACTGAGGTCCACTACCTAGTGTTGTTACACTAGGAGAGGGAACCCTTCCTGGATGGGCTCAGGTTCTTTGACTTCCTCACCTTTCAGGTGACTTTGTTCATTGTGTCTAATGACTATGTAATTATGCTCAGTTTGTTTGGAGACATATTTGGGGATTTTCAGAATTCCTAAATTATATGTGACTCAATTCTTCCAGTTCCTGGGGATATTTGGTAAGAGACAAAATGCGTGCAGATGACCCCGAAAATGTCACATATAACAGTTGTAAAAGTAAATTCACCATTAAAACTCCTAGAAACAAATATTCTGTAAGATCTGGTCATGCGGTCCTCATCATTCACTCTGCAGCTCATTGGACTTATAGACAATATTGTGACGCTTATCTGGGGTCTGAGCATTGGCTGCAGCACCTCCTAAGACACAACATTAATCAAATCACTTACTTATATTGAAGGATATAGTAACCCCTACCTTGTAGGAATTATAAAGAATAAATTAGTACATTTATTTAATTAAGGATGATTTTCAAAACAGTTGCAATTCAGTGTTAGTAAAGATAGAAAACAATACAATTCCCTTTGACATATGAAAGTTAAGACACTGAAAATCAGGGAATGCGTAGCTAAGGCAAAAGCCCCTGGAGATGCAGACCTTCTAAGATGTGTTCCTGGAACTCCCAAAGGAGATGGGAAATTCCTTTCTTATTGCTGCTTTTTGAGGTTCTCTTACAGCATTCTTGCCTTGCTTTGTCATGAACAGTGGAGAAGGAACTGCATAAGGATTTGCTGAATTCACTCCCACTGTTAGCACATAACCCCAAGGGCATGGCAGCTCTTTGCTACCTTCAAAACACCACCTGGCAAAAGCATCAACAAACTATGAAGATAATTAGTGACTTTGAAGTTCGGGCTATTAAGTTCATATTTCAACCATAAATAGCAAAATATAATGAGTTGCCATTAAAGAAGGAACACAAATAATCTCTTACAAGGGCCTGAGCACCTAAAACACATCAAGAAAACTTACTAGCCCACAAATGCCATTTCCGAAGGAATAAACCAAAACAAGGAAATGGCTGTCTGCCCTGAGGATCATCAGCACTGGCCAGGTATATAAAGGGAGCCAAACCCAGAGGGGACATCACACCCGAGAACACACAACTGCTCTCTACTCCTCAGCCCCACTCCAGCCCAGATAACACCATGACCGGCTCCTGCTGTGGATCCTTCTCCTCCCAGAGCTGTGGAGGCTGCTGCCAGCCCTGCTGCTGCAGAGACCCCTGCTGCTGCCGCCCAGTGTCCTGCCAGACCACAGTGTGCCGCCCTGTGACCTGTGTGCCACACTGCACTAGGCCCATCTGTGAGCCCTGCCGCCGCCCCATCTGCTGTGACCCCTGCAGCCTGCAGCAGGGCTGCTGTCGCCCCATCACCTGCTGCCCCACCTCCTGCACAGCTGTGGTCTGCAGACCCTGCTGCTGGGCCTCCACCTGCTGCCAGCCCATCTCTGTGCAGGCTCCCTGCTGCAGGCCCCCCTGCTGCCAGCCTGCTCCCTGCCGCACCACCTGCAGGACCTCCCCCTGCAACACCTGCTGCTGAGCCAATTAACCTTAACACTAAGGGTCCCTGGGAGATGGCCAGGTTCGTGCTGCTGCCACTCAGGACATTAAAAAAAGTTGTTTTTTCTTGACAATATGTTCTTCTAATTAATTCAACTCATACATGAAAGATACCTTTGGGGACCCTCTTCTGATGAAGAACACTGCATCCTCTTAGGACTGTGATCTAATCCTTACATCATTCTGTCTGTTTTCTAATAAACTCAACATTCTCAGCATAGAAATTATGGGCGTTGTGATCATTTCCTTTGGTCTATTGCCTCAGTTACCAGAGACTATTTTTTTTCAGTACAAGATACAGGATAATCTTAAATTGTTCTGAAAAACAACTAAAGTCTGAGTTGTTCTCTTGGAACCATTGTAAGTGGCATCTGGGGCAAGTCGGCTGATGAGAATGGTGGCAGTTAGTCACCCGAATTCTACTCTTACCAGTCAACTAAGACCCTCCTTGCAGTGATCAGTCTGTTAGGAAGCTGTGTCCAGGCGACATCTGCATGCCCAGGCTGATGTCTTGTCTCTTGTCTCTTGAGTGGACATCTATTGAGATAGCATGAAAGTTTGCAAAGCAGAGGTAGGAGAAAGACTAGGCTACATCTGGAAAAAAACATCCATTCTCTGCTTTAAAGACAAAAATATGGCAAATGGATGTGAAATAAGTTGAGTATTTATAGGTATAAAATGTAATTGCAATTAGAGATGTCAATAAATTACCCACCCCAGAGACTCGACATTCCCCGAACTTCAACCTTGAAGTCAACACTATCCTCAGTATGGTAGAAGACTGTTCTTCCTGCCAAAGTCACTAAGTTTTGTTGTTGTTGTTGTTCTGTTTTGTTTTTGTCACTGATGCTTTCACTAAGCAATCTCCTATGCATGTCTATGTGACATTTATAATGTTAGCAGCACCAGCTCTTATGGATATTAAGTCTGTAGCTGCCTGCCAAGTCTGCTTACCATTGTGCTCAGAAATTGCATGTTATTGATCTTTTTTTTCCCATGCAAATCAAACCCTGTTAATTTGGCATGTCTTTACTGTACAGCTACTACAAAAAGGCACTGAGTTCACCACACTGAAGGGCATACAAAGGAAGAAACAAGAGCCCTTCTTGAAAGAGTATATATAATGCATAGGGGTATGACATGTAAATAATTAAACCGTCAAACTACATACTACTAGTGCATAAAGAATTAACAAAATCAGCTGAGCAGGGAGGTTCAGGCTTATAGTCCCAGAACTTGGGAGGTTAAGTCAGGAAGATCACCACAGCTTTGAGGATAGCCTGGGCTATATAGTGAAATTCTATGGGGCATGAGGAAGAAAGGGAGGGAGAGAAAGAGAAACCAGGCATGGTAGTACATACTGTAGTTCTGGCACTATGGAAATGAAAGCAGGAGGATTGGGGATTTAAACCCAAGGCTAGCCACAGAGTTTGAGGTCTGCCTGGGCTATATGAGACCCTGAGATGCTGTCATTCTTCCACCTCTGCTCAGAGAGACAAAACTGTGTGAGTGTGTGTGTGTGTGTGTGTGAGAGAGAGAGAGAGAGAGAGACAGACAGACAGACAGACAGACAGACAAACAGAGACAGACAGAGAGATGGAGACAGAGAGTCAGAGAGAGTGGTGACAGAAATTATTTAAATGGATGAAGATAATAAACCTACTACAAATGCATTTTGTGAGAAAAAATTCTGAAAATAATCTATACTTGTTTATGCCTAAGTTATACTATTATACAAAAATCTACTCATGGTCGATAATAACACTCAGTTTTTCCTTTAGGTTTTCTTAATTATATAATTTTTAAGTAAGCACATGTTTTTACTATTAATAAAATACAGTATATAAAATTTATTATTGGGGTAAAGGAGATAGAGAATAGAATCTATATGTAGTGAAATCTAGCAGGAACTATTTAAATGGGAAAGGGAAGGTAGTAAAGCAAATAAGTATATAACAAAATATAATGATATATATGAATATGTCACAATGAGACCCACTTCTGTGTGTGCTAACCAAAAAACAAACTAAAAATATTAAGTTTTTGAGAAACTATTACTATTCTGGAGAAAAGACTTAAGTCCCTTTTCCCAATACATTCTGATTTCAAAACATACCTTTCAGTCAAAGTCTAATTGAACCTAAACAGTTTTGTACTGCTAAAGAAGCCTCTTGTTTGACAGGCAGGTGAAACACTAGATATGGTGGGATTCTCTAATATTTTAAAAATGTAACCAAATTATAAAACATTGAATTTGTCTTTTAACAGTTGAAGATCATCAGCTCAATTGTATAAACAATCTGCATCAATATGTTCCAAATTAAATATTTTAAGTTGTTAGCGATTCATGCTATATATACAATTGTTCTTAGCCATTTGCATGAGCAATCGGAATTTGAGAACACAGGAAATTATTTCCAACACAAAATGTTTTCACGAAGCTGATGTTGAACAGTAGTGTTAAATGGGATCTTATAATGCTCTACACAAAGAAGAAAGAATTATTGCCCATCACCAGTAGGAAGCTTTCTAAATTCTTTATAAACATTTTTTAAAGGCTTTGTCCTAGGACCCCATCCCAGAATATTCATCGTGCTTCATGTGCATCCTGTGGCAGCTGAGCAGAGAACTGGCCTGACTTTGTTCTTCTAAGTTCAAATTTTAAAGTCTATTACACACCAAAGTAATATGAGCTGTGCGTGTGTATGCATGTTCATGTGGGGCATGAACATGTGCGTGCACATGTACATGTGTGCCCATGCACTTGCAGGCCAGAGATCAACCTTTGGTGTCACTTCTTAAGTGCCAGCCACTACTGGTTAAGGTAGGCTACCTGGCCAAGTAGCCCAGGGATCTGCCTGTCTCTTCCTCCCCCGACATAGGATAATGATCATATGCCACCACACCTTAAAAAATACAAAAAACAAAACAAAAGAAAAAAACAACATGAATTCTGAGAATTTAACTGAGGTTCTTATGTTTACAAAACAAAGCACTTTACCCATTGAGCCATCTCCCTTCCCAATAAAATAACCTTTTAAAATGCATTGTTTTAGATAGGGTCTCACTACACACTTTAGACTCGCCTCAAACTAGAAATGCTCTTACTTTAGCATCCTGAGTAATGGGATTACAAACCAGCAAAACCAGCTAAAATACATTCATTCATCTAACAAAAAGAACACACTTGAGTGTCTGACTCTGCTTTTAGTTCCTGGACAAGTATGAGCTCATTTAATTCCCATGACAATCCAGATATGCACAATTATATGACCCAAGGACACAAAGCCAGTGGGTGGCAGAGGCTCACATGAGTGTTGAATGTTACAGGATAAGTGGATTCAGAAAACAGCATCTGCCTTGCTGCCAATGCCAGAGAAATCAGTTGAGCCTTCAAAGCCCTGTGTCATGGATAATGGGAACAAGAACCATACGTCCTCTGCCTGAAGATGAGGAAGGGCTAAGGAGTCAGGATAAGTATACTACAGTAAACAAACACCTGAAGAGTTTACTGAGCTATTCTCAGACTCTATCCTTGTGGATCTTTATACAAGAGTCAGAAAATAATCCCTATGGGACAACTGATGAGGAGTATACTTAGCAGAGAAATTCATCTTATTCAGTGTCGTTGGGAGGGAGTTCATTGCAAAAGGAAAAAACAAATTAACCATGGGATTCCACAGCAATATGAAATCTGATTATTGATGTACTCCAAATATACAGCTGTTTATTTGGTTTTAAAAAGGAGATGGAGATGAAGGAAGAGGAGAAGAAGAAAAAGGAGGAGAAGCCATAGCATGTCTATAAACAAAAGACAACCTGAAGCACATGAAGCATCATCATCCATGAGACACGACTACATGTCTCCTTTCTCTGTCTCCCTAGTTGTGGTAGAATATTCAGTTAATCCACTTACATTTTCCTATTGAGGTAGTGTCTCATGTAGCCCATGCTGACTTTGAACTTGCTACCTAGCCGAAGATTACTTTGTACTCCAGATCCTCTTGTCTCCACTCCCCTTGTACTGGGATATAGCTGTGTACTATTATGGCCAGTATACATGGTCCTGGAGATCAAATCCAGGGCTTTGTGAGTACTACAGTAGTAAAAATAGGTTTTCATTACCCCTGAAGCGGCTTTAGATTCTGGAGCCTGGGGCACACTTGTGTGTGGAGGTGGTGGGGGAGTGAATACACCCAGTGTGTTTTGAGCAGAACTATGGTATTACAAATGTGGGCAACCTTCCTGTGTGCCTTCCCTAGAAGATGTATTAGACAATACCTTTACAGTGTAGAGTAAGGAAACCTCTGTCATTTCACTTGATAATAGCCATAGGATATCAAGAAAAGGGGAGAGGAACCTCCTCTCGCCATCTGATCAGAGAAGATCATTCCGTGAGTAAAATGCCTGCCACACAAGTATTAATGTCTGAGTTTGGACCTCCAGGACGGATGTAAAAGCTGTGCACCTGTAGCCCCAGCCTTGTGGGCAAGTAGAGACAGGTGGAAGCCTAGAGTTTGTTGGCCAGACAATCTGGCTGAATTAGTGATCTTCAAGTTCAGGTAAGAGATTGTGTCTCAAAAAGTAAGTTGAAACACAAAAGGAACGCATGAACATAGACATTTGGCTCATACATACACCAACACAAACATGCAAAAGCCACATTTCCAGTTAGGCATGTTGGTATACATTTGTAATCCCAACACTTGGGCAGCTGGGGCAGGAGGATCATGAGTTCAAGGCCAGCCTAGGCTACATAATGAGTCCCTAACTCAAACAAACAAAATCTGAGTTTAGAGATAAAAATTAGTTCCCAGAAACATCAGAGTTGAACACATCTTGAACTGGAGAAAAGAAAGATGCACAGTGACCTCAGGTGCTTTCTTTTAATATGTTTACAACATATTAATGCAATAATAATATTTACAAAAATAAACTTTGGAGGACTTCAAAGGTAGCTCAACATTTAAGAGCACTTACTATGAGTAGAAGATCCAGGTTCGATTCCCAGCACCCATGTGGTGACTCACAGCTATCTGTAACTCCAGTTCCAGGTCACCCAATGACCTCTTATGACCTGAGTGGATGAGGTATGTATATGATACATATATACGATATAGACAAAACACTCATGCATAGAAAATGAAATCAAACACATCTAAAAATACCATTTGATTTTCCTGTGTGTGAGCTCCTGCTCTAGCAAAAGGATTTATAGTATCTTATACCTAATGGTAAGTAAATGCATTCCTAATGAATCTCTTAAAACAATATGCCTAGTGACTATTGCGGTAAATAAGGATCAGGATAAACAAATAGGCCGAATAGATGTTTATTCAGGGAGAAATAACTTACAACCTAGACAGATGAACACCAGGAAATTCAACCCGATCCTCTCCTGTCCAAGTCACGCCAGAAAGAGAGGGCCTTTCCTGGCCCCCTCCGACCTCCTTCCACAGGTCACTTCCGCCCATGGCTCCACCCACAATGGGCGTGGTCAGTGCCACAGAAGGACTATCTCACTACATAGTGACTGATTTACAGACAGGTATGTCTGTCTTAGAATCCAGTCGATGGTCTGTGTACCTCACTATACTTGATTATGTTAAAAACTGAGTTCTTCCATGGCCATTTGCTCCATGATTATCTTAATGCTATTGATTGAAATGAGCCTGAGCCCAAGAGATGATAGGAGAAACCTGAGGCGATTAGTTCACAGGTAAAGTTGCAGTCCAATAAGAAAGTCCTGGTATCCCATCACACAATGGGTGACACTAGTTAACAATATTGTATAATCAAAACTAGAAGACAGACTTAGGAATGTTTTTGGAATGGCAAATGTCTGAGAGGATGATAGCGACTTGCCTCCTGAACTGATCAATGCTTGCTGGGTGAGCGTACCACAACATCACACTCTACTCCATAAACATGAAAATTTTCTGTCAAATACCACTCCGTCGTCTCATGGCTGTGATTTTCAAGTTTTCACAATGAACACTGAGTGTAAGGTGTTCATATTTAGAGATGTAATAAGAATCATTTAATGGGATCATGACTCAACCATTAGTCAAACAGAAGTTGACTTAATGAGTCAAGAGATAAACAAGAGAGGTCATCAGCTCCCAGCCAGATATATAAAGGGACCCGGCCCAGAGGGGACATCACACCCGAGAACACACAACTGCTCTCTACTCCTCAGCCCCACTCCAGCCCAGACAACACCATGACCGGCTCCTGCTGTGGATCCTTCTCCTCCCAGAGCTGTGGAGGCTGCTGCCAGCCCTGCTGCTGCAGAGACCCCTGCTGCTGCCGCCCAGTGTCCTGCCAGACCACAGTGTGCCGCCCTGTGACCTGTGTGCCACACTGCACTAGGCCCATCTGTGAGCCCTGCCGCCGCCCCATCTGCTGTGACCCCTGCAGCCTGCAGCAGGGCTGCTGTCGCCCCATCACCTGCTGCCCCACCTCCTGCACAGCTGTGGTCTGCAGACCCTGCTGCTGGGCCTCCACCTGCTGCCAGCCCATCTCTGTGCAGGCTCCCTGCTGCAGGCCCCCCTGCTGCCAGCCTGCTCCCTGCCGCACCACCTGCAGGACCTCCCCCTGCAACACCTGCTGCTGAGCTCCTGTGGCAAGCAGCCACCTTTGAAAACTAGTCGTGTTCCTATTTCTCTCTCTCTCTCTCTCTCTCTCTCTCTCTCTCTCTCTCTCTCTCTCTCTCTCTCTCTCTCCTCCTGCCCTGAACCACCGATGCCCTAAATCAACCAACCAGCTTGTGAATGGAGGCCTGGAGCCTTCCATTTAGACTTGTGCAACTCTTTGAAGCATCTTTGAACTCCTTTCCTTCTTGGGTCTAAGGTCTTTGAACATGATTTTGTTTTTTAATAAATTCCTCTTTTTTGGCCTCACAAAACATTGCTTTGCTCTTACGTGTGCCTTTTAAATTATTTTATTCTTTGAGATTTTACTCCACATGTACAACTTACATTGATCACGTCTATCTCTCACACTCCCCTTCACCTCCTTCCAGACCATCCTCCTGTCTCCCCAACCACGACCCTCTCACAACTTCATGACCTTTCTTTGTTAACCCACGCAGTCCAATTGGTGTTGCAGTAGTTTGCATAGGCATAGGGGCATCCACTGGAGCATGGCCGACCAACCAGAGGGGGGGGGGGAATCTGTTTTCCTCATGCTCTTTTTTTTTTTTTTTTAATTAGATAACCGGGAAATTCTTACTGCTTACCACCTGCAAGCCACAGACTGAATGAACTGTGAGAAACATTTAACTGAGGTTTTAAAAACTTTTCCCCTCAACAATCTCACAAGTTCCCACCCTTAAGTGAAAAGTTGTATACAATTAGTGGCTACCACTAAAAGAGAGTCACTCTTCCCCACAGACGTGCCCTCTATTGGTTATCCAATACCAAGTTTTCATTTCTAAAATATATACACATGAGCAGCACATGGTGTTGCATTTACGTATGTGTAGGTAGGTATATACATGTTCAATAATCATAAATAAAAAGTTAAAATATGTCCTTTTTCATTTTTTTACAATTTTTATTTCGTGTGTTTGTTTGTTTTGCCTGTATGTATGTCTGTTCACCATGTGTGTGCCTGGTGCTTTCAGAAGAGTGTATGGGATTCCCAGGAACTGGAGTTACAGGGATTAGCAGCCCTGTCAGTATGGACTGAAACCAGGTCTTCTGGAAGAGCAGCCAGTGCTCCTAACCCCCAAGTCATCTCTCCAGCTTAAATAGCTTAAATTTAGTCTTTTACTAAAAGCTTCTGGGGAGTTGAGTCGTATCTACATTGACAAAATTGAATAGAACATGGAAAATAAAAAATGTGCATATCATCTAGTAACTACAAAGACATTACTGTTGTTTGGGAAGAATAAGAAGGTTTGAAAAATGCTAGTATCTTATATGAGTTAAGATATTGTTGCCCAGATTAAGAGAGCAGCTTTTTCATCAATGGAAACAGTATAGACAAAAGTATGGCGGGAAGTCAAGGGTCATCTAAACATTTGGCTAGACCACTGGATCTATGGGGAGCAACAGTAGGAGGACTATTTAGAGAATTAATGTGCTTTGCCAATCGGCTAATGGTAAGTAAGTAAGTGTTAAGGAACTATTTAAAGCCTTGGATCCATACATGGCATGACAGAAGTTGGTGTTGGTGTCCAGAGAAGCTAAGAAACAAAGAGGACCCTAAAAGAGAACATACATGGTCCCCCAGAGAAGAGCAAAGGGATAAGAATTCCTGAACAAATTGGAAGCACAAAGGAGGAGGGAGGGAGGAGAAAGAAGAGAGGGGAAGAAGAGGGGAGAAGAAACCATGAGGGAGCAGGAAAACTGAGTCGGGGGAAGACTAGAGGAAAGCAAGAAAAGAGATACCTTAACAGAGGGAGCGATTATAGATTTAAAGAGAAATCTGACACTAAGAAAATGTCCAGAAATCCACAAGAATGACCCCCAACTAAAAATCTAAGCAATAGTGACGAGGCTACCTTAAATGCCCTTCCCCTATAATGAGACTGATGACTACCTTAAATATCATCATAGAGCCTTCATTCAGTAGCTGAGAGATTCACAGCTAAGCACCGAGCTGAACTCCTGGAATCCAATTATAGAGAGGGAGGAGTGATGAGCAAAGGAGTCAAGACCATGCTGGGGAAACCCACAAAAACAGCTGACCTGAGCAAGTGGGAGCTCATGGACTCCAGACAGACAGCTAGGAAACCAAAATAGGACTGAACCAGGCCCCCTGAACATGGGTGTCAGTTAGGAGGCCAGTCTATGGGACCTCTTGTGGTGGGACCAGTATTTATCCCTAGTGCTTTGGGAACCCATTCCCCCAGGGAGAGGTACTCTCTCAGCCTACATACAAGAAGGGAGGGCCTAGGCCCTTCCCAAATGATGTGACAGACTTTGATGATCCCCCATGGAAGGCCTCACTCTCCCTGGGGAGTGGGTGCAGACTGGGATGGGGGAAAACTGGGGGGGATGGGAGGGAGGAACTGGGATTGATATGAAAAATAAGATTGTTTCTAATATAAATAAAAAGTAACTTTTAAAAAGAAGTTGGTGTTGGGATGGTCTATAGGAGTTTTTATAATGAGGACAAATAGGAGATAGCTCAGTTAGTAAACGTGCTCACCATGCAAGACTGAGAAAAAGGAGTTCAATGTTCACACCCAAGGGAGAAGTCAGACATGGTGGTAAGCTAATCAGCAAGCCCTGGGTCACCATGAGAGAGAGAGAGAGAGAGAGAGAGAGAGAGAGAGAGAGAGACAGAGAGAGAGAGAGACAGAGAGAGAGACAGAGAGAGAGAATGACAAACACAGAAAACCAGAAGGTACATTAAATTTAAAGTGGGAGACAAGAAACAACTAGAAAGTAAATGTGATTTATTTCAAATCTGGGCTAAACTTTCATAGTCTAAAAATGCTTAAATGGATTGTAAGACACTTATGCTTCTTTGCTTTGCTTTTCAGATTATTATTTTGTGGTATATTCCACCCAACACCACATGTTTATATTCTTGAACTGCTAAAAAGTATTTAAAACAAAGGCAGTACACAAAAAGTTTTACTGATCCTCACTGAACCTGGACAACAGCATGTAGTGAAATATAAAGAACTTGTCTAGGGAAGGGAGATGGGAATAACATGTCCAGCTCTTCTCTCCGTGAGTGCAAATGCTCACTTAACTTCTATGAATTTATCTGTTTCCAGACCATGATGTTCTTTCAACAACTGATGCTAAGGAAAGGGAAAAGTCATTCCTACCACACAACCAATGTCCTGGCCTGGCACTTCATGAATGAATGGCTCTGTTACTTAACTCACTCTATTAATTAATTAATTAATCCTATTGATACCTCTCAGCTTTGTGCACCAGAAGAAAATATGAGGCAGATAATCAGACTCTTTCTTTATAACCCTTCAGTGTTCTGGGAATAGTAGAATTAAACAAGTTTGTGGTACTTATATTGAGTATTGATTTCTACACCTAAAATATTAAGTGGTCAAAAAGATGAGTTATTAGTTTATCTTTCCATTACTCAATGATTACATGTACCCATTTTCAACTTCATGCCTATCGCCATGGGTACCAGAGAGCATACAACTTTAGTGAAACTGGCACACATAATATTCCAACAAAATCTTACTGCTGTCCAAAATAATATCCTCACCTCATGAAAGATAACTTTGTGCTTGTATTAATATGCATAGGATCAATAAGCCTACCACAAGAAGTAAAAATGACTTTTTGTCACTTTTAAGGAGTAAGGTTTTTCTGCCCGCTGCTGCTGGTCTTGTCCCGCCACCGCGCCAGCCCCAGTTAATACACTGAGACTCTGTATTTGATATAATGCTGTTGTCCAGGTACTAGTTTCTTATCGGCTAGCTCTGTCTTAAGTATTAACCCATTTCTATGTATTTTCACATGGTCTCCTTACCGGGCAGTGGGGCCGGCGTCTGATCTCCCCAGTCTCTCCATGTTGACCCTCCTTACTACTTCCTCTTTCCTCCTTGTCTCCTAGTCCCTTCTATCTTCCTTTCCTATTGGCCAACAGTGCTTTATTCATTAACCAGTATGAGAAGCATATATACAGAATGACATCTCCCATCAGTCACTATACTTTTTTTTTTGTGTCCCCTCATGTAACCCTAAAGATTTAGTGGAAAAACCACATCACTTTTCTGTCAACTACCAAAAATGGTTTCAACTTTTTGTGTGCTAAGACATCTAAATTTTTGCTTTTGTGCCTACTAACACATACTGATAATCTACTTTCAATCTCCCTTACAAATATTAGGAACCAGAAAAATAGTGTTTCCTGATTCCTTTTGTCTCCTTGGCTCCTCTTTGTAAATTAAGCTGTTGTCCTCTTTGATTCAATGCCTTTTTGCAGGGCACATGGTGTAGTAACATAAAATGACATGAATTGAAATAAAACTGTCCAAATGGTTCACATAGCATTATTTTTTATCTATCCCAAAGAAGCATAAATTTCATTTGACTGTTTTATAGGTGCTTTTCCCTGCTTACTGATTACAAATTTTAGCCTCTTCTTTAAATTAAATTGGAGTGCCACAGGTTTTGTGCCATATACTGTCCTGAGTGACAAACGTGCCCTCGAATATTAATGTCTTAAGTTTAGAAGGGCTCACCGAAATCATACGAAAAATATATGGAGAGGTCTGTGAATTTCTCTTAATGTGTAACATCTTTGTATGTGTAACTTTCTATGCAATGATGTAGAAACTGCAATCTAATCAATAAAATAAAAACAGAACCACAAAGGTAGTCTTCTTGAAGGACAACCCAGGGTCAAGGATTCCTTTTTGAATATTTGAGATTTGATGAGTATGTCCCCAGAATTATAATTACAGATGAGAGTCACCTTGTCAGGTGCTGTGACCACAAACACAAAACTGAGGCCAAGACTCAAGTAGAAACCATCACTGTTTGGATACAAAGCATTTAACATGTCAACCTCTGATGAACATATATGATGAGCATCAGCTGAGCAACAAGGAAACACCCATTTAAAGCTATGTTTAAAGTAACCCAGAGGCCCCAGAAAATCTGGTTTTAAGAGTAACAAGATAAAAATGCTACCTGTGGAAGAGCGCCTGTCCAAGGTATATAAAAGGCTCCAGGTGGAAGAAGCCATCAGAATTCAGAAACTCATCTCAACTACACAACTCTCAAACCAACCTCTGACACCATGGCCTGCTGCGCTACCAGCTTCTGTGGCTTTCCCACATGCTCCACCGGTGGCACCTGTGGCTCCAGCTGTTGCCAGCCCAGCTGCTCCCAATCCAGCTGCTTCCAGCCCAGCTGCTCCCAGTCCAGCTGCTGCCAGCCCAGCTGTTGCCAGCCCAGCTGTTGCCAGCCCAGCTGCTGCCAGTCCAGCTGTTGTCAGTCCAGCTGTGGCACTGGCTGTGGCCAGGAAGTTGGCAGTGGAGGTGTGAGCTGCCGCGTTAGATGGTGCCGCCCAGATTGCCGCGTGGAGGGCACCTGCCTGCCCCCCTGCTGTGTGGTGAGCTCCACACCCCCAACCTGCTGCCAGTTGCACCATGCCCAGGCCTCCTGCTGCCGCCCATCCTACTGTGGACAGTCCTGCTGCCGCCCAGCCTGCTGCTGCTACTGCTGTCAGCCCAGCTGCTCTGAGCCCAGCTGTTGAAAACCTTCTAAGAAGAATCTTAAGAGGATGGCACTTCAAAATGAACCAGCTAGAACCCTAGAGATACTCTAAATTTCAGTATTGATAAATCAGCTACTGTCACAGCTACATAATTTCCCAGGAGGTTAACTCATTTGGAGAGAAAGTGCCTTGAACTCCAACACAAGCCCTGCAATGTGGAGAGCGCCCTATAATATATTACTATAAGTATTACTAGAAATATTTCAGTAGCTTATTGGGATTTGCATTTAATAAAAAAGCATTTGATCTCTTCAATGGTAAAACATTATTGTCAATACTTTCTTTCCTTTGGAATTTATTAATAACAGTGGGTACTGGAACGTGTTAAAGTCTCAACATGGCACTACAGATTTTCTTTTCTTTAACTATGCTTGTTCTTTTCATAATCCCATTTCTTTGTTTCCTACTAAATGGCTCACTGTTTCCACAAGTGAAATACATCATTTAAAAACACAACAGCAATTGGGACCCTTGCCTGCACAAAGTGGTTTCAACGTTCCCAAAGGTCAGTTTTCCAAATAGGAAGTTTGTGTCACTTAGGTATCTCAGGCATTGCCAAACCCATGCAGTCACTCATATGTGAGTCCACATATGATTCTTTCAAACATCAAAGAGTTACTAAGATGTAACGCAAAATGAAAGACCATAAACTCAAAACAGCAGAATAATAGCATCCGATGTTTCTGCTTGCAGCTTGTAAGCCACAACCCATGACTCCTTGAGTAAGTCATTTCACTCGCCTGAGCAACAATTTCTCATCTGAAAACTGACTTGTGTCCCTTCCGTGGAGAGATGTGTAGATCACCTAATAAACAGGTGACACGCTGACAATGTCCTCAGATATTTGAAGAGGAAAAGGACTCAAGGATCCAATAATACCATGTGCTTTATTGTCATGGTTAGTTTACTGTCCGCCTCACACACTCTGGGGTCACCTAGGAAGAGGGAACCTCAAGTGAAGAAATGCCTTGATCAGATTGGCCCATGAGTGTGCCTGTAAGGAATTCTCCTGATTGCTAATTGATATAGGGGAATTCAGCCCACTCTGGGCACTACCATTCCTAGGCATGTGGTCCTGGGTTGTGTAAGAGAGCAAGCTGTACCAGGTTGCGATCACACACACACACACTATATATATATATATATATATATTTAGTGTGTGTGTGTGTGTGTGTGTGTGTGTGTGTGTGTGTGATTCCCTTCATCATTACCAGCACTTGTCAGTTATTTTCTTGATCTTAGCCATTCTGAATGGGGTGAGATGAAATATCAAAGTAGTTTTAATTTGCATTTCCCTATTTACTACAGATGCTGAATACTTTTAAAGATATTTCTTAGCCAAATTAAATTCTACTTTTGAGAACTCTGTTCAGATCTACAGTCCATTTTTTAATTGGGTTATTAGTTTTCTTGGTTCTTAGTTTTGGGAGTTCTTTGTATTTTCTGAATATTAATTCTCAATAGGGATAAATTATCAATACTCCTAGATGAAAAGCTACAGGCAATCAATGGCTCCTGAGAGTGAGAAGAAAAAAAAAAGCTTGTCTTTGGGGACAGCTCCCTGATATGTCATCTAATCCCAAGAGTTCGGCCCTAAACACAAGCACATATCAGCAGCACTAAAGAAAATCAACTCAGTAAGAGAACATTAATTTTAAAAGGAGAGGTATGACTTTGAGAGGGAGTGGAGGATAAAGGAAGAGGGGTAGAAATGATGTTACTACATCTTTGAATGCTAATACATCCAAAACTCATATATGAAATTTTCAAAAGCTAGAAAGAATTAAATAAGAAATAACAACCCTGAACCAAAAGAAAATAGAGCTAGCTGAGTATATGCTAAAGAGCAAGCCAGTAAGCAACTTGGTCTGTTTCTCTATGATCTCTTCAGCAATTCCTGCCCTGACATCCCCCAGTGATAGGCTGTGACTTGAAGTATAAAAGGAAATAAACACTTCCCTTCCTTTAGTTGCCTTTGATCAAAGTGCTCTTTATCATAGTAGCAGCAAATCAAACCAGGACAACTGTTGTTTAGAAGATGTTATAAGTTGCCTTAGAACATTAAAGAGGCTGTGGTGTTCTACAGTAAGACCATCTCTATCCATCATATCAAAACTGATAAAGCCAGGATTTTTGCTGTTGTCTCACTTCTTAGTGTCTTGTAACCAGTGATCTTCGAAATGTACTCTGGAAAACGATGAAAGAAAGTGTCAGTCTACCAACCCGTATTTTTGTTCAAGTGCTGTGAAGCAGAGTGCAGAACAGAGTGTTGACCACATCTCATCACCAGCCTTATTCTCTTCTCCGAGAGGTGTTTCTGAGGTGAAGCAAGTATGAAACAAAAGATGCAGAATGGAGATTTCATTCCATGGGATAAAATCTTAGGACACAGAATCAACGTGGTAGACTCCAATTAGTAGCATTTAGCAAATGATTGTTTCAAGGTGATAGGGCATCCTTCTGAGGTGATTAAAAAGATTCGACATCATAGGCCTGAAATGTACAGTGAGGCTGAAAAAATGTCACAGTGAGTAAGAGTGTCTGCTGTGAAAGGAAGAGGATCTGAGTTCAAATCCCTGGGGCCCACATGAAAAGCCAGGCGTGGCCATGCATGCTGGTTGAGACAGGTGGATCCCAGGAGCACTCTGGCCATCTAACCTAGTTGACATGGAACACTCTAGATTTGCTGAGATCTTGTCTCAGATAATAAAATGGAGGAACCAACAAGTCAGCTCAGTGTCATGAAAATCTGGCCATCTGAGTTATATTCCCAGAACCCATGTAAAGATGAAAGAAAAAAATAGACTCAGCAAAGTTTATCTCTTACTGTTACATGTACCCAATGGCATGTGCAACATATTATTATTATTATTATTATTATTATTATTATTATTATTATTATTGAGATCAATAGAAGAAGATTCCTCATACCCTCCTCTGGCCTTCCCCATATGCACATGCCTAGGAGTGTGCACCCACACTCTCCTGTGTACATGTACCACACAACACACACCTATACAAAATGCACTAAATGTCACTTTATTATACACTTTAAAATGGTTCTTTATGAGTTTTACCTCAATTTATATAAAGTTAAGGAGAAAGTACAACTTCATAACAATTAGCAAAACACCACCTTGAAGTCAACATATACTCAGGGAACACAGCTTATCAGACCTACAGTACATTGGTATGAAGAAGGATATGCTCTTTCTTCTGTGTGAACACAGCGACACATCCAGGCACAACCTGCACATCTGTGCTCAATGGGCTTACAACATGGTCAACATCCCAAATCCTAACATACAGGTTTCTTGTCTCCAACTGCATAAAATGGTTAAGAGCTGAGGCACCTCAAAACTTCAAAAGGATATGGTTTTGTATTTAGAAAACTCAAGAAAGACTGTATTACTTAGTTAAGACTAGAAAGTTGGGGATGAGAGGAAGTTCTTGAGGTTTACTTGTTCCCTGGTTGGGACCCTTGGGATAGAACACAAAGCATAGAAACATGGATGTCATAAGTAGGAATGGTTCATTCATTTGGCTGGCCATCAACCACCCACACTTTATCCTTCAGAAATATAAGAGAGAATTAGAACAGACTGCCATAGAGCATCCGTGAAATGAAGATGAACATGTTGGAGAACCCCCAAGAACACAGAAACCATTCAAACATTAGCATCACTCTTTTTTATTTAAATAACATCTTTTCATTTATTTTACATACTGGGTGCAGTTTTGCTCCCTCCTCTCCTCCTGTCCCTCCTGTCTGCCCTCATCTACCTGCCTCCTCATCCACTCTTCCTCCATCACCATTCAGAAGAGGGCAGGCAGGTTCTTAAATAGAGGATCAAGTGTTCAAAATGACAGCCTAAAAGTCCCTTGTTCTTGACATATAAGGTTGGTATAGGCCCTCCAAAATGAAGTAGTAGAAACTTCAGAGAATCAGCGGTATCATTTTTATAACATCTATGTCCAGATACCTGCATTCCCACTTAGACACAGACACAAGTCCCTGGTATTCAAAGGGGATAGAAAATCTACAAAGAGAAACATCATTTATGTTTTTATCTGTTTTGATTTCCATGGAAATCAATACAGAAGAAACAGACTCAAGTGTTGGGAGAAGTCTGCTTATATCCCATGTTCTTGATTTGAGGTTGATAAGGGAATGTTCAGATTCAACTTCACTTTATGGCAGAGAGGCAGAATTTTCAAATTTTGGATGACATATTTTTAATTGCTTGATAGATTTATTGTGTGAGTCCACATGTACAGAGGTCAGGAAGGAGGAGTTGCTTCTTCTTCCCAATTCATGGGTCCCAGGGTCACACTCGGGTCATCCGGCTCGGAGGCATGCTCTTTTATCTGCTGAGCCAGCTTGCTGGCTCTTGAGCATTGCGTTTCCTTGTTAGCAATTACCTGAGTCCATAATCATGAAAGTTGACTTAAATCTTGTACTGAGGGAGCTGTTGAAAACAGTGCCAAGGTAGAAAAGGTAGAAACAATAATGCCACGCTCAATGCCATTATCTCCAGGGCCTTTTATCAGCACTGTACTGATATACCTCAAATGCCCAGGGCCACTATCTTTAGCACCAAGAATCCTGCTGAATTTGAATTCCAACATGAATTCAACAGCCCTGAGAATGCTATCGTGGCACCTGCACATTGCAAGCATCTCAGATGAAAAACTAGCTAACCAAAGAAGCCGGGAGATGGCCCAGTGGGTAAAGGGCTTGTTGCACAAGTGTGAGGGCTTCAGCTTGACTCCCTGGATCTACATAAAGCCAAGGGGATCTGTAATCTCAGACCATCTGTGGAGAGAAATGGGACCTGGAGACAAGAGAGGGAGGTGAGCACCCACACCTGGGCTACCTTCTGACGTCCACAGGAGCTCCATGTCACCAACACACTCATACACACACACACACACACACACACACACACACACACACACACACACACACGGAAAACAAAACTAAGTTTTATACTCAGTCAGATGGTGGAATTTCAGACTTCAGATTCACCACTTGGATTTTTGTAGCCTTAAAGAGCCAACCTTCCTTCCTCCTTCCCTCCCTCCCTCTCTTCCTCAATTTATTTTAATCTCCTCTCAGATAATACATCCTGACCTCCATTTCCCCTCCCTCCACTCCTCCGAGCCCACCCCACCTCCTATCTACCCCATATCCACTCCTCCTTTGTTTTCCCTTCAGAAAAGAGCAAGTCTCCCAGGGATACCAACCAAAGATGGCAAAACAAGGCACAGTAAGACAAGGCACAGACGTTCATATTAGGGCTAATCAAAGCAACCTAGTAGGAGGAAAGGATGCCAAGGGCAAGCAAAAGAGCCAGAAACACCCTCGTTCCCACTATTAGGAGTCCCACAAAACGCCAGTCTGAACAGTTAATGCCTCAGTTTCCTCCAAGTATTATGAGAGCAGCAGTAGAAGCCACTCTTAGGATTGATATCAGGTATGATCAGTTGTCTAGGAACACGATGAGTGCTCAAAAAACATTACTAGGAACCATCCATTCACATTTTCTGGGTGCAAAAAGAGGTATCTTTTCTGTTCACCTGAACCCACCTTTGTTTCCCAGTCAAAGGAAACAAAGGAATTAAACACCCACGTGAGATTAAAGACCCAATTACCAGGGTCAACAATGAATAACTTTGAGCCTTCTTAAGCAGGAGCAGCATTAGCCAATTATCCTTTGGCAATAGGGAAATTATAGCAAATATGGGTGATCCATGCTTATGTTTCCAGTGAACGCTAGTGACTACTTCACAGTAGTTAAGAACCCTAATTGAACACCAAATAAAATGAACTTTTTACAGGCTTTCAGAAAACTGAACAAGTTACTCAGAAACAAACAATTATCATTTAGAGGAAAATGACGTAAACATAAACAGGGAAGAGGCTTTGGGAATTAAGGAAACATAACCCAGCCAAGGATTATAAAAGGACTGGAGTGGTAGTCACTACTCAAACTCAAAAAAACTTCTTCAAGCTAAGAAATCTTCAGCACTGAGCAACATCTAACATGGCCTGCTGCGCTACCAGCTTCTGTGGCTTTCCCACATGCTCCACTGGTGGCACCTGTGGCTCCAGCTGCTGCCAACCCAGCTGCTCCCAGCCCAGCTGCTGCCAGCCCAGCTGCTGCCAGCCCAGCTGCTGCCAGCCCAGCTGCTCCCAGTCCAGCTGCTGCCAGCCCAGCTGCTGCCAGCCCAGCTGCTCCCAGTCCAGCTGCTGCCAGCCCAGCTGCTCCCAGTCCAGCTGCTGCCAGCCCAGCTGCTGCCAGCCCAGCTGCTCCCAGTCCAGCTGCTGCCAACCCAGCTATTGTCAGTCCAGCTGCTGTGGCACTGGCTGTGGCCAGCAGGGTGGCAGTGGAGGCATGAGCTGCCGAGTTAGATGGTGCCGCCCAGACTGCCGCGTGGAGGGCACCTGCCTTCCCCCCTGCTGTGTGGTGAGCTCCACACCCCCAACCTGCTGCCAGCTGCACCATGCCCAGGCCTCCTGCTGCCGCCCATCCTACTGTGGACAGTCCTGCTGCCGCCCAGCCTGCTGCTGCTACTGCTGCCAGCCCAGCTGCTCTGAGCCCAGCTGCTGCCAGCCCAGCTGTTAAGACCCAGGATGCTGATTCCCAAGGGTTCAACTTTCAAGGCCTGGGCCACTAATACATTCTCCAACTTGGATTTGGCTTGTGTCTTTTTGTGTGTGTCAGAGAGAAGTCACCAAATAGTTTACCACGCAGAACATTTTCTTTTTATCTAAAACTGGAAAGGCTTTGATATCCCTTGTAAAAAAAATAATAATATCCAAATTTGATCCCAAAATGAGAAAATCATTTTTTTCTTAGGATTGCCCTCATGCTGCCAAGGCCCTGGAAGAATCTCATGTGCTAAGATGTTTTCTGTTCTTCTTTCACTGTTCTGTAAATTGCTCTTATGGGAAAAAAATAATGTGTAAAGGTAATAAATTATATCTGTTGGCATATCAAAAGTGGTCTCTTTTTTATTTAGTGTGCAAATAACAGATACTTCATAGAGAGCCACATAAAAATCCTTGAGTTTGATTCTATTGCCTTTCTTTGTTTTGCACAGGAAGCGAAGCATGCACGTGCTATGGCATGGAAGTAGAGATCAGAGGCAGTCTCTCATTCCACTGTACGGCTCTGAGGACTGAGGCAAGGGCCTTTATCCACTGAGCTATCCCGTTTCTTTTATAATCTATATTGCTCTTCTTATACTTTGTTAGGAAATGGATTGGGTTTGAGCGGTGGTTAAACCTCATAGAAAGCTGTGGCATTTCCATGTTCTTGTTTCGGTTTGTTGCTGTTATTAAACACCCTGATCAAAAGCAACATGGAAAGGAATGGGACCGTTTGGCTCACACTTCCAGGTCACAGTTTATCACTGAGGGAAGGCAGGATATGAACCTCGAGTCAGGAATCATGGAGGAATGCTCCTTAGTGGCTTTCATTATAGGCAGGCTCTCCTATAAGACCAGGACCACTGCCTAGGGATGGGACTGCCCACAGTGGGCTTAGCCATCCTCAGTCAACTGATCATCAAGACAGTCTATCACAGACTGACCTGAAAAAGATACTCATTTTGTTGAGAACCCCTTTTAGGTTACTGTAGACCTTGTCAGGTGGACAGCTATCACTAAGTAGGACACTCAGAGTCTCTCAATATCACCCATGCTTGTTACAACTAGATGGCATAGAAGCTAGGGTCACAGAACCTAAATGTGACTTCCTTTCCCATCCACTAGAAGGAAGTTGTTTCGGGTGATCTTAAAACACTGGCAACACATGCTAACAAATTTCTCCTGTCCGTTTACTTACAGTCTTGTAGGACAGAAAGAGATGGGCAAGGATGGACAACCTCTTCCAAGAAAACACTCACAAGCAGATGAAGATTTTAAAACTGTTTTTTTTCCAGTTCCTAAATAGAAAGTGAGAAAACTAAGATTTTACTCAATAGTTATAATTAACAGATGTTCTTTGGTTTTAGATGTGTGCTTAATAGAAATATATGTGCTCATTATATACAAATGTGCTTCTATGTAATATACATGGAAATATATTTTTATATATTAAGTGTAAGTATCAGGAAATGCTTCATAAATCCAGGCAACTTTTCAAAGGAACATAAGGGGAACTTGGGTTTGGAATTGGAGGGCATAGAAGATGATAGGTAGGTAGGTAGGAAGGTAGGTAGATAGATAATAGATAGACTGATAGATAGATAGATAGATAGATAGATAGATAGATAGATAGATAGACTGAAATAAAGTCATTAGATCATCAACATCAACATGGCTCAGTTTGTAAAGGTGCTATGACCAACACTGACCACCTGAATTCTGTTCTTGGAATCTTCACTGCTGGAAGGAGAAGAACTTAGTTCCTCGAGTTGCCCTCTCACTGCCACATAAACCCTGTGGCACACAGACAGACAGAGAGACAGACAGACACACACACACACACACACACAGACACACACATACACACCCCTTTCTCTTTCTCCCTCTAAATAAGTGTGGAGAATCAAATGAGAATTTACTTCAATTTAAATTATAGTTCATACATTCAAAGAGTAACAACGGCCAGAAAATTAGAAGGGCAAAACAAAAGCCAACAGCTCACTTTCCTGACAGACTGTCTAGCAACCTATTGCAATCCAGAGGTGCCTTGCAAGGACAGGGGAGAAATGGCGGCACATTCTGTCCTTCTGCCCTCTTAATTCTAACCACCAACTACTCTCAGGTTCACCACTTAAACAGCTCAGCCCTTACTGAAGAAAACGAAATATGATCACAAGTAACTAAGGTACAGCGTAAATTCAACCTTTCATCATTATCACATACTCTTTTTGCATTTGGGGTTTTGTTTGTTTGGAAACAGTGTCTCACTCACACACCCCTGGCTAGCTTCAAATTTTCCATGTAACCATGTATGAATATGTAACCTTGAACTTCTGACTTTCCACTCCTAAGTGCCAAGATTACAGATGTATGGAGCTACATCTGTCTCATATAGTCCTGGGTACCGGGCCCAGGGTTTCATCCACACTAGGCAAGCACCTTCCCAGGTGAACCACAGCCCCAGCCAAATATATGCTATTAGTCATTCGTTTATTGTTTGTTTGTTTATCCCTAGTGAAGCCATGAATCTTCGAGGAGGACCTACTACAGCCGCTTTATTAAATCAGCATAATTCCTAACTGCATTCTAAATATGTATCCTCTACCCACAGGTAAGTGTAGTGCTCACCCTCATCAAAGAAGCTTCTCTAAAACAGATAGAGACCATTACAGAAAACTGTAACTACTCAGGATACAGAAAACAGCTGATCTCTTTTCTTTTCTACCCACATGTTTACCCTACATGTGGAGTGGAGGGAGGGAAGGGTGGTCTGGGGGCATGAGAGATGAGAGGGTGGGAGAGAAGGAAAAGGGAAAGGAGGAAGGGAGGGAGGGAAAAGGGAGGAAGGGAGGAAGAGGGAACTGGGATCAAAATGTAAAATAAAAATATAAATTATAAAAACAAAAACAAAACAGTTGATCGTGTTGTGCCCCATCCCAATAGATACATCTGCCCCACAACTTCTGCATCTCAGGCTCTGGGGACATAATGGATGAGGATGTGGAAAGGCAGTAAGAGCCAAAGAACCAGGAAATCTGCTGTGAGACTGTAATGATAGGGAACTCAACCATGATGCCTCAATAGTGTGGCTGTCAAAACCAGACCAGAACAAGGACAAGACCAATCAACAAGCTAACAGGAAGAGAGGAACTCTCATGGACTCTGCCCCTAGACAGAAAACTATGGACGACTAAGGAATGCTGAGAATTGGAGAATTAGTCTTCTTCAAAGATGAGACTTGTGATTGTTTATCCAACACCAAATGCTCTGAAATCATGCCCATGCAAGAAGCACTAAACAGATGCAGAAGATTCTATCTAAAGGTTTACGTCCATCTATATGTAGCAATAACAAAGAACAAGAAGACACTAACTTGAGAGGGAGTGAAGACTGATGGGTGACATACGGAAGGGCTAGGGAGTAGAGGCAGAAGAGGGAAATGGTGTAATGTGTTTTCATTTTAAAAACTAAAATTAGTCTGACAGTGGTGGCACATGCCTTTAATACAAGCACTCAGGAGGCCGAGGCAGGCAAATCTCTGTGGGTTTGAGGCCAGTCTGGTCTACAGAGGGAGTTCCAGGAGAGTTTCCAAAAGAGAAACCATCTATATTTCATAAGAATAAGTAAATAAACTCTGCTTATTCTCATATTCTGAAACACTATATATAGCTCTTAAAATGAGCTTTATCTATAGGATCTACTAAGAAACTGGGTTTGGTTGGTGAAACGCTTGCCACTTAAGCTCAAGGACCTGAATTTGAGTCTCATGAGTATGGCAAGCTCCAGCTTTACTCAACCTGTCTTAAAAGCACAAAGTGTAGAGCAACTGAGGAAAACATCTAGTATCAAACTCTGGCCTCCACACATTCAAAGAAATTGAATAATGTAGATAAATACTATCCAGATACAAACATATCCATGGCAAACATCGCACAAGTATACAACCTATCAATACTCAGTCATAAAGAACTTAAACTGACCATAATGATAACCAAAAAAGTACACAAAATCCATAATCAAAAATTCCCCAACAAAGAAAGTACAAGTATCAGATATGTTCACAGATAAATTCTACCAAATATATATAAAGAAAAATTAATGGCAATTCCCAAGAAATATCTCTAAAAAAATATTCATTGTTCTAGAAATTTGGTGAAAAAATATAGAAAACTGGAAAAAAATATTCACAAATTCAATCTATAAGGCCCCCATCCCTTTGATAACAAAGGCAAGAAAACCACAGAAAAATATTCCTGAAAAGTATTCATATGACAGTAATCAGTCAAATATTATCCAACAGTTCAATGAGACAATGAAATGATTAAAAAGAATTACTAAGTGAGAATTTATCTTACTATACAGGAATTGTTCAGCATATAAAAAAATCAGTGTAATCGTTATTTAATGGGTGAAAGGGAAAACATAAATTGTTATCTCAAGTATGCCTCCCAAAAAAATGTTTTGATAAATTTCAAAACCCTTTGAACATTAAAAAAAAGCACTCGATAGGGCAAGGAGATGGCTCAGTGAACAAAAGCTCTTGCTTCCAAGCCAGACAGCCTGCATTCTATCCCCAGAACTCACATGATGGAAGAAGAGAACAGATCCCTGCATGCCATCTTTGAACCTACACACACACACAAACATGTACACACACACATGCACACATACACAAACACACACGCACATGCACACACACACACACCTATGCATACACAAACACATAGAGAAATGTAATTTTTATCTTAAAAAATTCAATAAGCTAGGAAAATAATGAAACTACTTCAATATAATAAAAGCCACCGATTTAAAGAATACAATTAACCTCATATTCAGTAGCCAAAGTCTTATGATTTTTCCCATTAGCTTGGAAATAAGACAAGAATGTCAATTTTTTTCTATGATGTTTATCATACTACTAGAAGTACTAGCTAGAGAAATCGGACAAAGATAAAAAAAAAATGTCAACCAAACTGGAAAAAGAAAAAGTAAAACTATCTCTGTTTGAAGATAGCAGGATCTTGCACACACATACACCTAAAGATTCACACACAAAAGAATGTTAAGGCCAATCAAGGAACTTAGCAAAGTTCCCAATAAAAACTTAACACACACAGAAACACACACATATATACACAAAAAAAATATTTCTATACACTAACAATAAGCAATATGAAAAGGAAGTGTTACAGAAAATTACATTTACAGTGGCCTTGGGGGAGTGGGCCTCTGAAGGGATCAATTTGACTGTGGGAAAATATTTGGACACCAAAAATAACAAAAGATTGCTGAGACAATTTTTAAAAGATGCAAATAAATGGAAAGACATCCCATGTTCATGGATTATAAACTTATACTGTGAAAGTAATGATAGTACCAATAGATATACAGATTTAATGCAATCCCTACCCAAATCTCAATTCTGCTTGTGTAGTTTTTCCCAGGACGCACATTGAGTGGCTCACAACTCCATCTCCATCTCCAAGGGGATCCACATGCACCTGCACCCCCGTATACATACCAACATACATACACACACATTTTTAAAAGAACAAGATTAGTTTTATGAACTTCCCAATTTCAAATTTTATTTTAAAAACTAAAATAATCAAAATAGTGTGGCATTAACTCAAAAACAGGCATACAGAATAGAATACCCAGAATTAAATCCTTATACATAGTCAAAAGATTTTCAGTAGGGGTAATAAGACCCAAAGGTTAAGATGATTGACAGAAATATTTAAAATGTTACCATAAATTTCATGCATTGAATATTTGTTGTGATTAAAATTTGAATTTAAACATGTATAAAACCCAAACTTTATTGAAATTGAAGTGTACACACACACACACACACACACACACACACACACACACTTGTTCTAGAACAGGAATGAAGATGTCAAAGAATTAACACCAAACTGCTAATATTGATCATCTGGTACACAAGTTTAGGAAAAGTTATGTACATGCGTGTTTGTGTGTGCATGTGTATGCACACTGGGGAGGTGGGACATCAATTTTTCTTTATATGATTCCATTATTGCTTGTCTTGTTAAATGCTATATATATTAGTTTACATTAAATTATATTTAATGTAACAAAGACAAAGCAATGCAAAAGTCAAGTCATTAAAAGCTTCAGTTTGCAATGTGTGCATTGGTGATTACCTTGTTAAATAGCATCAATTGATAGCATACTATATATATATATATATAATACATGATATGCATGATATATCTATGTAGATATATATACATATATATATATTATGACAAAGAAAACAATTTAAAGGCGAAGTCATCAAAATCTTCAGTTTGTAATGTGTGCATTGGTGATTACCTTGTTAAATAGTATCCATTGATAACATGCAATAATATATATCATATATAATGTGCATGCAACATATGTGCATTATGACAAATACAGAAAACAATGTAAAGGCTAAGTCATCAAAGGCTTCAGTTTGTAATGTGTACATTGGTGACCAAAAGGAAGAGGCACAGATCTCTAAGGATCTTCTATCCTGCACAGACTGGCCCCAGGAAGGCAGACTTTGTTTGGATGTGGATCAATTAAACAGCTCGAGTCTTGATGACACCAATATTAGTCTTAAAGAGTCTGAGGAAACTGTTTATGAAATCATGATTGTTATTGAGTGACTGTTTAGGAAACAAATGTTCAGTTTAGATGAACTGTGCCTAAGGTTATCAAAGGTCAGCTGAGAAAAAGCAAGCCAACTCAAGTGTTTGGCCCACAGTCTGTCATGTGACTTTCACAGAGGTCTGCTGTGCTTGGCAATACTCCTTCCCTTAGACCAGAAGGGAAAGAGGAAGCTCTGTGACATTTAATTGATCACTGACAACAGTAAATGATGGAAATATTGTTTATAATTTTCTCAATTACTCAACCACTGACCAATCAAAGACTGACTTTGCAGCTAGCATCAAGGGGAGATGCTAACTGTTAGATATGCAGATCTAGGGAATATATAAAAGGCCAGGTGAGGGAGGCACAGTCCAAACTCAGAAACTTCCTTTCACAAACCAACCAACTTGACTCCTGACATGGCCTGCTGCGCTACCAGCTTCTGTGGCTTTCCCACATGCTCCACTGGTGGCACCTGTGGCTCTAGCTGCTGCCAGCCCAGCTGCTCCCAGTCCAGCTGCTGCCAGCCCAGCTGCTCCCAGCCCAGCTGCTGCCAGCCCAGCTGCTGTCAGCCCAGCTGCTCCCAGTCCAGCTGCTGCCAGCCCAGCTGCTCCCAGTCCAGCTGCTGCCAGCCCACATGCTGTCAGACCAGCTGCTGTGGCACTGGCTGTGGCCAGCAGGGTGGCAGCGGAGGCGTGAGCTGCCGCGTTAGATGGTGCCGCCCAGATTGCCGCGTGGAGGGCACCTGCCTGCCCCCCTGCTGCGTGGTGAGCTGTACACCCCCAACCTGCTGCCAGCTGCACCATGCCCAGGCCTCCTGCTGCCGCCCATCCTACTGTGGACAGTCCTGCTGCCGCCCAGCCTGCTGCTGCTACTGCTGCCAGCCCAGCTGCTCTGAGCCCAGCTGCTGCCAGCCCAGCTGCTCTGAGCCCAGCTGCTGCCAGCCCAGCTGCTCTGAGCCCACCTGCTGCCAGCCCAGCTGCTCTGAGCCCACCTGCTAAGAACCCAGTTACTGAGTAGTGAAGAATGGAGTGGATAGCAGTGCAGAATTGCATGGATCTTTAAGGCAATGCTCTGTGGGTGGATGCTAAGTATCTTCATGTCGCTAACCTGCTCATCAATAGTATAACTATTCATCAGGACCCCTACAGATGCGCTGAAGCTGATGCACTGAAAACATGCCTCAACCAGTGTGGGGAACCCCAGAGCAAAGTTAGCATCTTAACAACCATCTTTCCTACTACTCTCTTAGATACTAATATACTGGTATTTTTCCATTCTCCTATGATTGTTCTCTTGCTAAACATATGATGCAGCCTGACCCCGAAAGAGTCCCAGCTGCATGCTTATCCTATAGCAACTTATCTATAGCAGAACACCTGCATCCTGCTTGGAAGGACATTCTGCCTCCCTCACATCTTCCCTTTGGCCCATTTCCTCATTTCTCCACTACTTAAACCCTGTGGTTATATTCATTAAACGAGACTTGATCAGAATACTGTCTTGTCTCCATCTCTCGAGTCTCTTGTCTCTTCATTCTCACTCCTTCCCTCAGGGTCCCTGTCGACTGACCCCGCTGGCCGGGGCAAGCCAGCATGTTCAAAGGACTCTGCTCTGCTTAAGCAGCACACAGGGATGGGGTGGTACTTCATTCCAGTGACATGTGGACTACTTCCCTAGTTTTTGGTCCCCACACATCTTCAGTCATGCTTTCTATTTGAATAGTCCCTGTTGTTCTCAAATAAAGTGTTTTGTGCACTAGTGGATAGATTTCTGTCCATCTTCTAATTTTAAGCTGCCCACCTATAGACAATTGCATTCTTCAGGCATAGACACATAATCTAAAACAAAATTGTTGTCTGAAAATTAACTTATTTTTGAATCATCTGCTAATAAAATATTCTGTGCATTAAGTAATCCTCGTGATTATTTCAATACTTGGCTGTTTTATTAAATTAGATCCAGACAAATAGAGTTACCCTGGATGGACTTTTCTATCAGCTCTGACCTTGTCACTTTTAGTACAGTAGATGTTTTTCTTCTTCTGTGCACAAAATAAAGAAACTGGAATTGTCTACTAAATAGATTGGAAAATATCTACTACTACTTCTTCCAAGAGAACTTGGGTTTAATTCCTATGCCTTATCCTATCTCCTTCCCTCTGATCCCCAGCTGTGTAAGGTCCAACTCTCAATATTCACCTGCACTTACCGAGTATGCGAGGGGCACCAGTGTACTAGATGAGAATAGAGCAGATAACTTTGGGGTATCACTGTTGAGTTCCAGCATCATGTCATACAAACGCATTAGAATTCTCAAACAGAGATGCCACAATTTATAGTTTACAAGCCAATCGAAAAATGTCTTTCTTGAAAAAATTAGCACAATCCTAGAACACAAAGAGATAGATTCTACCATCTAATTCTGTGTAAGCAGTTGATTACAATACATAAAATATATAAATCTAAGAAGAAATGAGAAAATTCCTTCCAGGTTATTTACAAGTACCCAGCTCTTACCTCTCTCATTAAATTGGTAGCAAGGGTGGATCACAAACAGGATGGTACACTCCAGAAAATTGAATGGCTGTGCATTTTTTCAAGGTGTCGTAACTCCTAGACATTTTCCCCAAGCTTTTGTTAAACCACTAAATTAAGACAAAAATAACTTGACATCCCTAGTGTCTTCACAGCAAATAAGTCTCCTCTGTAGGCGGTGCTAAAACTTGAAAGTGCTATTTACTCATTCTTGAGTGGTTCAGGCGTCCATGAATCATACCTTATACTCCACCCCCTCAGTTAATTCCCACTGAATCAGATTCAATAAACATTTAATAAGACTCTACCAAAATCAGGCTACATACTTTCTGAAAAACCAAGTTGCTCAGTCAAAAAAGTACCAACAACCCTCTGGCCTGAAATACAAATAACATTTACATATTTCCAATCAGCTAAAATGAAAAGAACTATAAATATGGTGCTGGATGGTGTCGATGTGGTAGATTCTTCTATAACACGTGATCAAATACCCCAATATTCTAAACACATTGGAATTGAGTCTATGTATCCAGGAGGGAAAAATAATACTTGAAAGGGGCAAATTTTCTACTGTCTTAGAGGTTTGCATAGACAGCCAAGTGGAATGACAACTATTCAGAATAAGGGTGTTGCCTTAACCTAAAGTGAGAAGGCTCTTTGAACATGGAAACCACAAACACTCTTATGGCCAAGAGCGAGTCACAGCGACCTTATAAAACAAAGTCATTGCCATATCACATCACATGTATTTCAATGGAAGCCAATCAGAGGACCACTAAGGAACAAATTTAAACAAAAACAAGAAAAGTATGTTAAGAATTTTATAAACAGTGGCTTGCTTGACTATATAAAGGGCCCCATGTTCTGGTCAGCTCCCAAACTCAGAAAATCATCCCAGCTACTCAACACCCAACCAACTTCTAGCACCATGGCCTGCTGCGCTACTAGCTTCTGTGGCTTTCCCACATGCTCCACTGGTGGCACCTGTGGCTCCAGCTGCGGCCAGCCCAGCTGCTGTGAGGGTGGCTATGGCTTTGGCATCGGGGGTGTCTATGGCTATGGCATCGGGGGTGGCATTGGCTGTGGCCAGGAGGGTGGCTGCGGAGCCGTGAGCTACCGAGTTAGATGGTGCCGCCCAGACTGCCGCGTGGAGGGCACCTGCCTGCCCCCCTGCTGCGTGGTGAGCTCCACACCCCCAACCTGCTGCCAGTTGCACCATGCCCAGGCCTCCTGCTGCCGCCCATCCTACTGTGGACAGTCCTGCTGCCGCCCAGCCTGCTGCTGCTACTGCTGCGAGCCTACCTGTTAAGAGCCAGGTTACAGATTTTCAATTGCCCAGACCACAATGTTCTTGAATTGTGCACCTTCTTGGCCAACCCTGGACCAGTAACAAGTTCTTAAACCTTGACTTCATTGTCTAATATGAGGCTACAGAGTTCAGGTGCATTATGGCCCTGTCTGAGTCTGTGCTATAATCAAAATCTTGACCTCTACAGCTGATCCATAAATGAAAGAAAAAAAAAAACCTGTATGCTGATCACCAAATTGTTCTGGATATACTGCCTCTGAAATTCTTGATGGAGTGAAAAAAGTCAAACTCTTGGGGAATCTTTTCTTTAAAAAAAAAAAAAAAAAAGACAATAACTCTATCAGCCCTGCTTGGTGATCATGTTTTAGCTTCTGTTTACTTAAAGCTTTCCAACATCAAAGGCACCAGACTACAGCTGAGACACATTCTTCGGATGTCATCAGAGAAAATGGAAGTTCTTCATGTTGACCTCATTTGACCATTGAATACCTTCCTTATATTTCGGATCATAATGAGCTTGCCTGTTGGCTATTTCCATTATATCTGTAGTATTGTGTCTTGTGATGTTTCGTAATAAAGGTTATGTCCTGGGCAAAGAAACTGTGGTTTGTGTTTCTACTTGTTTATCTAGTGTCTCACCTGCTTATAATTTTAGAAAATGCACTTAAATGAATTCTTTTGTTTCTTCTGAGAGACTGAAGTCATTGGTACATCATGTATTATTCACTCCATTAAAATGCATTAATGATCACTTTAAGGCAGGAAATTGGAAGGGATGCTAGATACTAGAAAGAAGAAGAGTCAACAAAAGCATATGGTCAAATAGCTACAATGTGATGAGATAAAATCTCTTCCCAGTTCACAGACGTACCTTTAGCAGGTGGATGTGTTTGTGATCAATATGTTTTCAGAGGCCTGTGTACAATAAGGTATTTCCCTACAGGCCATGAAGTAACAAAATCCTACCAAAATGATATAAAATAATAACACATAAAACTTAAAGAAAATTTTTGTCTAGAAACGGAATAGAGAAAAAGGAAGAGGGAACATTATGTTATTGGGAGCTCATCAATCTTGCTATGTGATCCCTCCCATTAAGTTTAGAAATTCACATAAACTTTGAGACTCTCTGTAAAAAGCACTAAAGTGGCTGGGCTTCCTGTGTGGCTCAATTTAGAAAAAGGGAAAAGTCACCCAGAGGCTGACAGAACAAAGGGACTGGAAGAAAACAATACCTCAGAGCTTTCAGAAATGACCAAGAGTCTTTGGATAATCTCCACATTAGAAACAATGTCTTGGGTTTGTTTACTGAAACGAATATATAGAATAAACAACCAGTTGGGAAAATGTAAGGGAGTGCTTCACCATGGGACCAGTAAGGTCTGTATGATGGTGTCAACAGCAGGAGAGGCTTTATAAAGGAGAGAATCCTTATGGGGAGTTGCGAAGGTCCTTCTGCATGAAAAGAAAGGGGTTAGAAAGAAGAACCCACATACCTATTAGAACAATTAAATCCAAAGCAACAACACAACCAAATACTGAAAGGATGTACAGCTCACTTGGTGAGGATGAAGAATGCTACAGCCCTTTGGTCATCTTGTACCTTATTACAAAACTAAGCATACTGTTATCATAGAATCCATAAATTGTGCTCCTGTATATATACTCAAATGAGATGAAAACTCATCTGCATTGAAAACCTGCACTGATGCTGATTTATCTTTCAGTAGGTGAACAGAATAAACACACTCTGGGTCATCTATGCAATTAAGTACTATTTGACTTATAACAAAATAAGTGAAATAAACCAGTCTAAAAAGGCTACATGCTAAATAGTTCAAGTATAGGTCATTCTGCCAAAGACACGGAAACAATTAATAGTTAACCCAAGTGCCTTACATACTGTGCTGTGCAGTTGTCTGCAGTCTAACACTGGAAGGCAATCTCAGGATATAAAGAAAATAAGTTAGGACTATCTTATGAAGCCTACAAAGCAGTAGATTAGGTTTCTCAATATTCCTCCCCAGATAAATGAAGTATGTGAGGTGCTATACTCACTTCCTCATCGCCGCAGCTAACCCTTCTCATTTGAAACACGCACCTGATGCTTGGAACAAAGTCCTGTGAAAGAGGCAGAGTCTGCATCAATGCCAGTAGCAAGCCCACCGGTGAGGAGAGCTAGTGTGACTCAGTCAAGCCAATGCTTGTTGGATAGCCAAAGCAAGGAGCCTAGATCATTCCAGTTACAAGATACAGTAGGCTGCAATCAACTCTCAAGAATGGAAGCTTCCCACACACAACATCTACTGATCCTAAATAGTCAAGTAATGGCAAAAAGACACACGTTCAAATTCCAAAGCAGAAGTGGGAATGTTTCTTTAATGCGGGATTTTTTGGCATTGGAGGGCTGATGAATTACCAAGGAAGAGGGGAAAAAATGAGTATTAAATGATGGGGTAAGTATTACAAAATGAAGAAAAGAACCAGAGAGAGGAGAAAAACAGAAGAAAACAGTGAGAAAGAATAGGAAACAAGAGGCAGAATAGAGAAAGAACCCTCAGGAAGATACACAAGAAGGGGAAAGATGGAAGCCAACCCAGGCCTATTTAGTACTGTGTGCTGTCCTACATGCTAACACTTAGCACTGATACTTACACTAGGTTTATTTTGTGTAACCCTTGTATCAATCCTACAAAATAGATTTGTGTACCCTGGCTTACACGTAGTTACACGTAGGTAAATAAGTTTTTTTTTTTTTTTTAAGTAAAACGCCTTGCTTTCTGATGCACACAGCTCATAAGAAAGACGCTGAAATCTGAATCCACTTCTATCTGACTCCAAAATCTATAAACAGGCAACTAAAGAATTTAGATGGACAGCATACCAAAGTTCCAAAGACTGGGCCAGCAAGATGGCTCAGCTGCCGAAGCACTTTTCACCCAACAAGCTGAGTTCAGTCTCCAGAACCCGTGTGAAGGGGGAAGTAGAGAACGAAGTCCCCAAGGCTGACTCTGACTTACACATGTGCATCAAACAGCATGCATGCCCACACACACCATACCAATAATGATAATAGTAATAATAATAATAAATAATAAGTAATAGCAGATAGAATAAAACAAAATTCCTAAGATTAAAAAATGAACTTCTGAAGAGGTTGCTAGAAGCTAAAGCATAGGTTATTGAAGACAAGGATGTAATTATATCACTAGATCCAAGATAAATGATAAATGGGTGTTTATTGGGGAACAATTACACAGAAAAATACAAAGAAAGCTCCCTCAACACCCCGAGGTGTTTCCATGCTCTTCCTTCCAGATCCCTTGACCAACCAGGTGTGTGCAAAGGAAAGCCACAACCTCAAGCTCCTCTCTTTCTGCTTCCACCTGAAGCCACACCCAAAGGGGTGTGGCCGCCGTTTCAGGACCACAGACCAGATGCCTACTATGACCTTGTAACTCTGCTCCTTTCCCCCCAAACTCAGCTTGGGGAGGCCTATGTTGCTATGCAAACTACATCACTGCTTCCGTGACAGATTTGTTCAAGCCACCCAGCAGCCGCCCTTAGAGTTCTGAGTCCTGTGGGCCATCTTCCAAGTTCAGGACACTAGAAAACAACAAGAACACATACAATGAGTCAGCTCCCCAGGACCCTTCCTCATAATTTATGTATTTATTACTCTCTGACCCTTCCTTTCCCATAGCTGCTACTTCTATGTGACCTATTCTTCTGTCCCCCTTTTTAATTACTAAGATAATAGCTTCTATAACTAGTTAATAATGGCTTATATTAAATTCTCTGTGTGGGGGGGTTGCTGGTACTTTCCCCCTCTTTACTAGATCCTCACTAATACAAAAGTTGGTACCAACAATCCCAAAACAAAAATTCCTTCCACAATGAGACTTGGTGGCTGTTTATACGAATCTCCTAAACTTGAACTTGGTGCTAAACTTGTCAATAGGAAGTGGGATAGAGCTGTCCTACCATTATTACTTTGATCTAATGGCTTGTGGGCTATTTGGCTGCTGGTCTTGACTCTTGGACAGTGATGGAGACTATAATGGATGAGGAAGAGACGGTCTTCTGGCACTGCTCTTCAGTGCTCTCAGAAGGAAAGTGACAAACTTGAGATCACAATACCCAAGCCAAGTCATTCTCAGATATCCATAAAAGATGGAAAACAGAAGCTCCAAAACAAAACATCATTCATTTCCTGTAGCCATAGAGCTGACATGGTTCTAAATTGAACATGGAATTTTATTGCGTAAGTGAAGTCAGTCAATGAGTCTCCTCTAGAGCCTGAGTCATCTTCATAGCTCTCTGCTTGTTGTATGGATTCATTTCCTCCTCACATTTTCCCAGAGAATGGCCGGCCTAGCCCCATTTTGTACTTTGAACCTCTCCAGTGTCTCGGCAGCATCTCTCTAACCTTCTCTCTGCTCTCGGATGGAGAAAATGTTCTGCTTTAGGGGCTCCCCGATGACCTGTTAATTGTGAAAAGTGTAGCTTGTCCTTTCAGGGGCTAGGGGAATCTGTGTTCAGTGGCACCAGTATGTTACCTGGGAATACCCATAAACCATGATTCCTTCTCAACAGAATTATGCATGACGAATTATCCATGAGGCTAAATATGGACTGAAGGAGAGGAAACAATGTGCTATCAAAAGTCTGAGCCATTGCTCATTTAACTTACATTTAACTTGTGTCATTTGTATGTTCTCAAACCTCATGTCCACTTCTCCATTTTAACACAGGGAACCCCCGACCTTACAGCTGGGTGGCAAGATAACACCTATTCCATTACGAGTACAGCTGTTTGTTGCCTTTGAGAAGGTTTTGCTCAAAAGCATACCACAAGTTTAACAGTAGGTAGATATTTTCTGAAGAAGGCATGTGTTGTCACTAACCCACAAGGGCCTGCTCTTAACCCTTCTGAAGCTGCATGCCAGAGGCTACATACGGTGACCATGTTCTCCAGTACATTCCCAACATCACAGGGTCTGCTGGTTTGCCGGGGTCAAATGAAGTAACAGCCTCTGTTACAATGGATGCCTGCCGTTGTTCTTGTCCTCCCAATCACCAACAGCATTTTAAGTTATCAT